CCACACCGCAGGGACATGCTCTAAGCGCATACAACTTGATAGGCATTATTACCCCGGATAACCCCAGCTGCCAGTGAGGCGCTGGAAGATTTATAGTCATATGACTTATCCCAGTGGGTTCCCATTTTCGGCATTTTGAACAAACTCATTGCCTAAAGTGAGACCACATGGGTGGCGCATGACAGTCCTAGAAACTCTTTGTTGTCAAACTACAAAGATACTGTGGGCAGTGGGTGAGCCCAGTAAAGCGTTCGCTTGTCACGCCCGGGATTGATTTCCCATATGGGTACAATGCGTGAAGCCCATTTCCCTAAAGGCGACGTAATGATGGGAAGTGTGAGTGAATTTTGCTTTACGCGAGCATATAGGAAGACTGGTAATTATTCTCTCTGTTGCGCAACCTGTACGCTCTACAAGCATCGGGTTGTTTCTGGTGGAAATTAGATGGTACTTCTTAACGTATCGCCAGTTTCCAATTAATAATTTCGGGATTTTAAAACAGGTTCAAATTAGTATTAGTATATCTACTGCCGTGGTCTAGAGGATAGAGTGTTTGCATTGAGAGAGGAAGGTCGACGGTTCGATTCCGGTCACGTCATACAAAAGACTTTTAAGACGGTGCATGTGTGACGTTCGGCATCAGTGGTACATGGACTGCAATGGACGGCTCGAAGTAGGACTGCAGTAGCGGGGTTGCTTGTGCTCAATACACTGCAGCATCGTATCTCACTGTGATAGCACTATACACTTCCCTTCTATGCACGCACGCACGCACGCACGCACGCACACGCACAAACGGGTAATGATCATTTATGCTACCCTAAAAAAAGTTATAATACAAGCATGTAAGAGTGTCACATTTTTTCAAGGTCTTGTTTAAGGATGTGATCTGGCCCAGAGTTCTCGAAACAAATTTAAGTCTGAGTTTTGACTTAAGTTAGGGATATTTACTCAAATTTGAAAAAATGCATTTCCCAGAATGAACTGAAATTGATATTTAACTCAAACATAGTAGACAATTTGAGTTTGGTGGATAGATTACTTAAGTACTTACTAGCGCTTTGAGCATGCCTTAGGGTGTGGAAGGGGCGCATTATAAATATGCATTTATTATTATTATTATTAAGTTGTTTGGGCATTTTTATTTTAAAAATGCAGTTGTGTTGAAAATTCAGCTGTTTCAAATTGCCAAACTCAGTTTGAAATTTGAGTAAAAAGTTCAGTTTGTTTCGAGAAATCGGGACCAGATCTTTGTTTAGCAGTGGCGAGAAGAAAGACTTCTGACTCCATTCCTCAAAAGTAACGTAGCCCTAAAGTGATCGTAACTCCCAGCTGCGATGGAACGTATACGGGTCCCTGAGATTAATGAGATTGCCTCCTGCTATGACGTCGTTTCTAGTGTGATGTCATTCCGACCTTGCGTCACAATGTTAGTGCACCACAATCCGGAGCGTGAAGTGCACCACAATCCGGCGCAGTGATGACTCAGCATAACATCACAGGTACTATGCTGGCTTGCCGCATGGAACTCTGGGTAGTAGAGTGGAAGTGCACTTGTGATTTTTTCAGACACGGTCATTTAGGAGATAAACATACTGTGTTGGAAAATCAGAGGTGTATAACGAAATGATAATATACTCTCCCAAAAAAAGAAACGCATCATGAAAATAGCAATTTCATGTAGCAATGAATTAAAACGTGATTCATTTTACAAAGGGTTTTGCTCTGTTTATGAGTCCTATGGTGTTTATGTTTTGAAACATCACAACAAAACGCACCATCCGTAAAATACACGTATTTAACAGCATGATTTTCAATTTCGGCGTGTAGTGTCACAGAATACACAATTCACATACAATGCACGTGAAAGTTGGGGATCAGATAGTCTCAATGATGGGTATAAAAGGTTGAAGCGCTGTCTGTCGATTGTTCACTGTATTTGGAATATTGTTGACGAACGCAAAATGCCACGTCTAAGTGAAGCCAACCGTCATATTGCCATTGGTTTGCTTGAAGCTGGCCAGTCTCAACGTGCAGTTGCCCGACGCATGAATGTTCACCAAAGCACCATTTCACGGCTCTGGGAGAGATATCGCCGGCAGAATGCGGTAGCAGATGCCCCTCGTAGTGGGCGACCTCGAGCGACCACTGCGGCGCAGGATCGCTACATCCGGGTACAACACCTGCGTCATCGAACAGCTACGGCGACCAGTACCGCTCGACAAATACCCGGATTGAGGAGGCTTTCTGCACAGACCGTCAGGAACAGGTTGAGAGGGGCTGGTTTACGTGCCAGAAGACCTTATTTTGGCCCTGTGCTTCGACAACAACATCGTCGACATCGAGTTCAATGGTGCACCAACGTTCAGGCCTGGAACCTACCGAATTGGCGTAGAATCTGGTTCAGTGATGAATCACGATTTCTATTGGAACGACGCGATGGAAAAATGCGGGTGTACAGACGTCGACGTGAACGTTTCGCCGACGCTTGCGTTCCCCAGGTGGACAGATTCGGCCGGGGAAGTGTTATGATGTGGGGAGCGATCACCTGCCGTAGGAGAAGTGATTTGGTGATGATCCAGGGCAACCTGACAGCTCAACGGTACTGTGACGAAATCCTACGCCCACACCTCCTTCCAATCATTGATCGCCAGAGGGAGTTGTTTCAACAGGACAATGCCAGGCTCCACACAGCACGTCACACTAGAGACTTCCTCCAGAACCACAACATCAATGCGCACCCCTGGCCCTCAAGATCACCGGACTTAAACCCGATCGAACATCTGTGGGATGCCCTGGACAGACGGGTGCGACGCCGTAACCCTCAGCCCCAGACACTTCAGCAACTCGCACAGGCACTACAGGCAGAGTGGGCTGCGATTGGGCAACACGAGATTCTCGAGAGGCGATCGTGCAGTTCTGGATGCCCACGGTGGTCACACGAGGTATTGACTTCAGCGCCACCACACGTCTCCATGTGACACTCAAACTGACTTTCCTCGAGTTGGTGCCAAAGACGGATAAGTCTGCATTCCCAGTGTGCAATTTCGCTATATTTCATTGACTCATAAAGCCTACAAGATGTTTCAAAATTAACATAAAATTACAGTTGAAATTCCTATATGCGTTTCTTTCTTGGGAGAGTATAGTTCTAATTTTTTTATTTAAAACCTCACGCCCCACCGCCTACAGTTCAATGATTCGTTCATCCGTCATAGATATTTGTCCTGGCTGCTGCTTAATGCTCCTTGCACCATGATAGTATTTCAAAACTGAAAAAATTAAAACCAGACAAATATTAACAAATAATATTTGAAAATGCAAATCCCGGTACATGACACAATCAGACTCCAGGTGCGTGATTGGTTGTAACCATGGCCACACGTCCGAGCCTAGGCCATAACCAAATGATTGGAAGGTTGAAAAAAATCTTTGTTTCCAGTTTTTTCTTGTTTAAGATGTTATATTTTTTCGACGTAGGACACTTGTGAATTCGTAATGACACGTGTATTTATATCGCGAAAAAATGTCTTGAGACAAAGAGGCTTTTAATCAAATAGAAATCAGTTTGTGGCGGTCTCATCAGTCTTTTATAAACCTGCAACTGTTAAAACATGCATCCGTCCTACCCTATAGACTTTTGACCCGAAGAAAAGACGGGAGGTCAACTATAGTCTGTTTGGCTTAAAAGAGGACCGATGAATTGCAATCTAACTCGAAAACTAATAAACATATAATGATCAATGAATCCCTGAACATAATCAAAACATTAGACCAACGCTGTGATTTTTTGCAGAATTTTTGTCCTAAAAGCGAAAAAGTTGTTTAACAAACTATCATTAAAATATTTACACAGTGCACTGTTTGTTACGAGGGAGGAGTGCAAAGAAATGGACAGCCAGGCGTGCGCGAGAGGATGGAGACAGCACAGTACAGGTTAATGTAGTCTGTCTCACAGTCCCTGAACCACATTAATTTCCCTACTGCCAAGCCCTCTCTGCAGTGCTAAAGCCCTAAATAAAGCAAGTCTAGATTTCCTCAGGTCTGGTCTCCCTAGGGCTCCTTCTCAATATAAATGGGCTTGTTTGTTACTATCAAAATTATATATATTCAGAGACTAAGCCTTAGTCTAAGGTTAATGAATCAATAACTTTTACGGCACTTGTGCGCGTGCTACACATACACATGGCTGTTCCTCCTTTTGCACTCCTCCCTCGTAACAAATAATGAACTGCGTCAAAATTTTAATGATAGTTTGTTAAACAACTTTTCTATTTTTAGGACATAAATTCTGCAAAAAATCACAGAGATCAGTGATCAGTGTTTCATTGAGTATTATATGTTTACTATTTTTTGCAGTTAGATTGCAATTCATCTGTCCGCTTTTGAGCCAAACGGACTATACCTGCTTCAATAACAGCTTGAGAGTTAACCATAATATGTCGACATCAACTGCATCAAATTAACACAGTGTTATTCCCATAGAAGGTTTATTAGCATGAGGTTTATAACCCAGTCTCATTTACAGGCAGTTATTTACATGAACTCTTTGTCTTTATTAACAAATGGGTAAACATATATAGACCGTTAACACATTAAGACATTTTATTGAATTATTAATAATTTCGAAGCTTAATTGACATATGGTCAATTGTATGAACAAATTATTTCAAATATACCATTGAATATCATATTGATGTCGTTCTAAATTCTCCCGACGGAAATACTAACATGAGTTTTGTAAATAATGAAATCTCACTTGAACACAAATTAATCTATCTTAGGCACCACTTGTCTTCTTCCAACCCTGCTCTGTGTGTGGTGTGTACGGTGTGGTGTTGGTGTGTATGTGGTGTGTGTGTGTGTGCGCGCGCGTGCGTGCGTGCGTGCGTGTGTTATAACAGAGGTATGACAGTGGCAGTGGCAGTACAACTACAAAGACAATGTAACACAAAAGCAGTGATTATAGTAATGGAATATCCACCTCACGGCAACAGTGGTCAAGGACAATTGTAACCCGGATCTTTGCGGGTCGATCAGTTTTTGCGAGCGATGTTACTTAACTACAGGAAGGGTTATAAGATTGATATTACTCTACTACAGAAAGGGTTATAAGATTGATATTACTCTACTACAGGAAGGGTTATAAGATTGATATTACTCTACTACAGGAAGGGTTATAAGATTGATATTACTCTACTACAGGAAGGGTTATAAGATTGATATTACTCTACTACAGGAAGGGTTATAAGATTGATATTACTCTACTACAGGAAGGGTTATAAGATTGATATTACTCAACTACAGAAAGGGTTATAAGATTGATATTACTCTACTGCAGGAAGGGTTATAAGATTGATATTACTCTACTACAGGAAGGGTTATAAGATTGATATTACTCTACTACTACAGGAAGGGTTATAAGATTGATATTACTCAACTACAGGAAGGGTTATAAGACTGATATTACTCTACTACAGGAAGGGTTATAAGATTGATATTACTCTACTACAGAAAGGGTTATAAGATTGATATTACTCTACTACAGAAAGGGTTATAAGATTGATATTACTCTACTACAGGAAGGGTTATAAGATTGATATTACTCTACTACAGGAAGGGTTATAAGATTGATATTACTCTACTGCAGGAAGGGTTATAAGATTGATATTACTCTACTGCAGGAAGGGTTATAAGATTGATATTACTCTACTGCAGGAAGGGTTATAAGATTGATATTACTCTACTACAGGAAGGGTTATAAGATTGATATTACTCTATTACAGGAAGGGTTATAAGATTGATATTACTCTACTACAGGAAGGGTTATAAGATTGATATTACTCTATTACAGGAAGGGTTATAAGATTGATATTACTCTATTACAGGAAGGGTTATAAGATTGATATTACTCTACTACAGGAAGGGTTATAAGATTGATATTACTCTACTACAGGAAGGGTTATAAGATTGATATTACTCTACTGCAGGAAGGGTTATAAGATTGATATTACTCTACTACAGGAAGGGGTTTATAAGATTGATATATTACTCTACTACAGGAAGGGTTATAAGATTGATATTACTCTATTACAGGAAGGGTTATAAGATTGATATTACTCTACTACAGGAAGGGTTATAAGATTGATATTACTCTATTACAGGAAGGGTTATAAGATTGATATTACTCTATTACAGGAAGGGTTATAAGATTGATATTACTCTACTACAGAAAGGGTTATAAGATTGACATTACTCTACTGCAGGAAGGGTTATAAGATTGATATTACTCTACTGCAGGAAGGGTTATAAGATTGATATTACTCTACTACAGGAAGGGTTATAAGATTGATATTACTCTACTGCAGGAAGGGTTATAAGATTGATATTACCCTACTGTAGGAAGGGTTATAAGATTGATATTACTCTACTACAGGAAGGGTTATAAGATTGATATTACTACATAGAAGGGTTATAAGATTGATATTACTCTACTACAGGAAGGGTTATAAGATTGATATTACTCTACTACAGGAAGGGTTATAAGATTGATATTACTCTACTACAGAAAGGGTTATAAGATAAGATTGATATTACTCTACTACAGGAAGGGTTATAAGATTGATATTACTCTCTACTGCAGGAAGGGTTATAAGATTGATATTACTCTACTACAGGAAGGGTTATAAGATTGATATTACTCTACTACAGGAAGGGTTATAAGATTGATATTACTCTACTACAGAAAAGGGTTATAAGATTGACATTACTCTACTGCAGGAAGGGTTATAAGATTGATATTACTCTACTACAGGAAGGGTTATAAGATTGATATTACTCTACTGCAGGAAGGGTTATAAGATTGATATTACTCTACTACAGGAAGGGTTATAAGATTGACATTACTCTACTACAGGAAGGGTTATAAGATTGATATTACTCAACTACAGGAAGGGTTATAAGATTGATATTACTCTACTACTCAGGAAGGGTTATAAGACTGATATTACTCTACTACAGGAAGGGTTATAAGATTGATATTACTCTACTGCAGGAAGGGTTATAAGATTGATATTACTCTACTACAGGAAGGGTTATAAGATTGACATTACTCTACTGCAGGAAGGGTTATAAGATTGATATTACTCTACTATAGAAAGGGTTATAAGATTGATATTACTCTACTCTATTACAGGGAAGGTTATAAGATTGATATTACTCTACTACAGGAAGGGTTATAAGATTGATATTACTCTACTACAGGAAGGGTTATAAGATTGATATTACTCTTCTACAGGAAGGGTTATAAGATTGATATTACTCTACTACAGGAAGGGTTATAAGATTGACATTACTCTACTACAGGAAGGGTTATAAGATTGATATTACTCTACTACAGGAAGGGTTATAAGATTGATATTACTCTACTACAGGAAGGGTTATAAGACATTACTCTTTACAGGAAGGGTTATGATTGATATTACTCTACTACACGGAAGGGTTATAAGATTGATATTACTCTACTACAGGAAGGGTTATAAGATTGATATTACTCTACTGCAGGAAGGGTTATAAGATTGATATTACTCTACTACAGGAAGGGTTATAAGATTGATATTACTCTACTACAGAAGGGTTATAAGATTGATATTACTCTACTACAGGAAGGGTTATAAGATTGATATTACTCTACTACAGGAAGGGTTATAAGATTGATATTACTGTACTACAGAAAGGGTTATAAGAATGATTGACATTACTCTACTACATGCAGACAGGGTAGTAGCGGTTTAAGAAATAAGCGCGGGGCCTCTTATAAGCGCCCCGTACGTTGTTTTTTTTTATAAATGCATTCTCCCTTGATGCAAAACTAACAATTAATTACGGCACACCCAGTATGCGCAATAAGCGCCGGGCCTGGAAGTATTGGAGGAAAATCCGGTACTAGGATTAATGTGTTCGTAGTTATATGACTACAGCATGTAAATAGTACCCCGGTCAAAGCAATCCAGAGATCGATAATGTGAGCAACGATACACCTGTCGGGATACGATGATACGCTATCAGTCAAGTCGTAAGCCGATCACACGATCGATTTGATCGCTGCTTGTGACAGGAATCGAGGGTTAGAATTCTTCCTCAGCCACCTATCATTGTCGACTTACGGGATCGGGGGGTCAGGCTCGTTGACTTGGTGTCATTGTGTCCCAGATCGATGCTCATGACATTGATCACTGGATTGTCTGTTGTCACTGAGTGGTATGGGAGTCAGCAAGGTTTTGTTTTACTCCCTACAGAATGTGCAGTGGACCTAATTTTCTCTTCCTTCCAAACTAACAAAATTTCTGGTGTCCCCGCTGTGATATGGATGGGATATTGCTAAAAGCGGCGTAAACCCATACTCACTCAGGAAGGGCAATAGCCATGGAAACCATGTTCTCTTAGGCTGCCAGTTGTCAGTATAATCATCACACAGTCATAGGGCGATTGGGTAGCCTAGTGGTTAAAGCGTTCGTTCGTCACGCCGAAGACCCGGGGGTTCAATTCCTCCCCCCATAGGTACAATGTGCGTAAAAGTCCATTTCTAGTGTGTTCCCCACCGTGATATTGCTGGAATACTGCTGGAAACGGCGTAAAACTAAACTAACTGGTTCACTCACAGGGGCGTTCACCTGGGTGTGGGGTGGGGCCTGGGTTTTGGGGTGTGGGTGGGGGTGGAGCATTCCAGCATTCCAGCGTAGGGACCATCCTCTTGGATATCTCGGGATGGACGTTTGGGCTGCACACACTTCGTCGAATCTTCGTCGTGAAGGGCAAACAGTTTACCCACTCGGCCACACTACCCTCCGAAGCGTCAAGACCTGCTTCACATTTGACTTCTTGTCATTACATGGTCGACTGACTGTCTGACTGACTGACTGACTGAGATGATGGTCCACTAACTCTGTATGGAGAGCACCCGAGAGTCATCACGCAGTATGATTGTCAGCAGGACTGTCACAGATACCTGAAATATTCCACCGACTTCTGCTACAGACTCTGTAAGATTTGTTTGTTTGTTGTTTAGGGCCGCGCTCAGCAATATTCCAGCTATATGTCGGCGTTCCGTAAACAATCGAGTCTGGACCAGACAATCCAGTGATCAACAGCATGTTCCATACAATTAGGACACGATGACATGTGCCAACCAAGTCAGATACTTGATCACTTGATCCCGGTAATCGCCTCTTACGACAAGTATTGGTTGCTGAACACCAATTCCAACCTGGATTTTCACGGGTCGTTAAATGTAAGCACCCCCCTCTTTTGTCCTGAAAGGTTATTAAATGACCATTGAAACTTTCGTGAAAATGAACTGTGGGCCGCCTTTCTCAAAAAGCTGTATCCGCCCCTGGTATTAGATCTTCATTCCATTGTATAAACACCCCGGACCCAATCCCTGTCGTAGCTTTGGTTGGTCAGATTCAAATGTCAAAACGAAAAGTTTAGCCCTCCAATCAATGTGCCAATGTGCCATTCGTAACTACTCGCCTCTGTCCGTGACCTACAAAAGCGTTCGTGACCCACTCGTGTTATTTACGGAAAGGGGCGAGTGGTGACGAATGCTACAAAAGGATCGCCATTCGGCTTGCCGGAATGACATGAGTAGTTACGAAGGTGGTAGGACAATAGGCCCACAAGGACATAACACCCTCAGACAAACCACCCCTAGGCTAAATGCCCCGTGACAAAAGCCCTCTATGGGTAGGACAAAAGGTCCTCAATGATTAGAGTCCAAGTTTGGCAGCTTGGTCTGCCATTTCGTTGCCATGGACTCCGATAGTTCTGCTGTAAAGATACTGGAGTTTGCTGGGAGATTATAGAATTGTTTAAGGCTTTTTGGGGTATGTAGATGCCACAATGAGTACCTGCCCAACAAAATCAAACATAAGAGGAAGTGACCAATTTAAGCCAGTTCTCTGAAACAACATTTAGCAGACTTCATTCCATTGTTACAATAACAACATCGTCACCGAGGAGCCTGTAACAACTATCAGCAGTGGGAGGAATTGCTCAGAAAACATCATGTTATCACCTGTCAACTCAAAATAAACACAGAGGGTGTTTTATCCTATGGGTGGAAATTTGCAAGGGCTTTTGTCCTGGGGGCATTTAGCCTAGGTTTTTTTTGTCCGAGGGCTTTTATCCCAGTGGGCTTATTGTCTGCACACCGTTACGAATGCTAATATTCGAGAGAAATCCTGCGGGACGTTACCGGAAGGTGCAAGGTATGACGTCACTTCCCAAACCAGCCCTTTTGTAGTGGTGGATATTTACGATAATAGAATGGAGCTGTAACATACTGGATTATCGAGGATGCAACACAATACAGTTATTTTGCAACGTTGAGACTTTATCTACATATATAGACATTACACATAATTTGAATGGTGCAGACACATAATGTTCTCCTAATATTTACAGGATACCCATCATGCAGAAAAATCAATATTGGTCTTATTTCAAGGGAGAAACTATTTTTTCAGATGTTGGGTCTCCGACCCAGACAGAACTCTGATCCCCATATCTTTACTCCCTTTGCAGCGCCACTGTTAAACTGTCCAACGTTCTCACCACTGAATCATCGATGTCAGTTGTTATCCTGTCCAGAAATATACCGTGATGTCATCTGTATCGTTTGTTGTGATAATGTAACAAAATATGATACGACATAAATCAAGATTACTGAATGAGTCATGCTAGCTGCCGTGTTCGTTTTTATTCAAGATCAAAACGTATCTGACAAACAAAACGTGTACGAGTGCAGCTCTACATAATCTCAAGCTGCGATAGTGTAGATGTGAAGATCCGGGTTGGAATGGTCTTCACCAAACCGACTTACGTTGATACGACTAACGGGATTGAGCGGTCAGACTCGCGGACTTGTAGATCGATGTTTATGATGTCAGTCACTGGTACAGACTCAATTATTCACTGCCCGCATATACAGTCATTGGACATAAGTATTCGTCACTGCATAATTTCCATAGACTCACATGCTAATTTGGTGCAGCTAGAAAAAGTGTCTTGAATTTATTTTTCGTTTGATCTTGTTCATATTTTGCACGTGTGTCATGGATCATCTCAGCTGCAATGACATAAGTTCCGTTTTATTTTCCGTTCAGTATTTCAAGAATGACCACACTTTGATTGATGCGTGTCATTGTTATGACAATTTTAACATGGCGGTCTATGGGGAAAGAATGCACAATGTTGTATATATGTTGCTCATGTTACTACAATACGGAAAATATTGGAACGAACATTACATGGAAATTATGTATCTGTGACCAAGATGATTTCCTAACAACCTGCAAAATTTGACAACCATATAACGAAAACTGAATTAATGAAAATTATTAAAGCTACACTAAAATAACAAGTAAGTATATGAGAATTTTGCCGACTGACGAATACTTATGTCCCACGACTGTAACTGGAATATTACCGGGAATAAACAACAAACAGAAGGGGAGTGAGAGAGACATGCTTTGAACAGTGTTTCACTTAGGGACGTTCATAACCTATTGTGTGTGTGAGAGAGAGAGAGGGAGAGAAAGAAAGAGAGAGAGGGGGAGAGGAAAGATGATTTTCATTGAGAAGCATGTAAAACATTGATGACAACCTAAAACCCACTCTTAAAATCAAGGTCACTCCCCTAGCCATGACTTATGAACAGTCCCTAGTGCAGGTTTTAGATGTTCACCACTTGTTGAAAGCCACCAGCACTGCTTAACCTGCATGACTAAAACTATCCTCTTCCCTAATACCATATTGCTAATAATTCTCAACAATGGCAGTAGTAAAGGTGATAATTTCCATCAAATTCAGTAAATATTAATATATCCCACCCTTTCAGTTGTGTAATATGTTTAATAATCCCATTGGCCAAGGAGTGAAATATTGATAATTCTTACAACATACAATATGTGGAATAATTCTTGCATGTGAGTTGTTGAATATTTTAGTAATTCCCCCATACATAGTCAATAATTCCCACTTCATGTATTAGCCGAAATATTATTAATATCAACCCCTGCATTAGAGAAATAATTTTCATAATTCCAACCATATGTAGTAGTTAAATATTATCAATAATTCCCACATCATGCATTAGTTAAATATTATTAATATCCATCACTGCGTTGGATAAATACTTGGGCAGCAATGCAGGCTAAAAATTCCCACCACTGTGGAAGTTAATATATTTTTTCACAATCAAACTGCTACATTGTGATCACCAAGGTTCAGGTACAGAAACAGAAGCTCATGATCTTGTGAAGTATTTATTTGGCAATTTACATACCTTACAGGTAGACAGCAAGGTTGGTATCAAACGTGTCTATACACAAAACATCAGCACTGTCATGGCAATGACTTGAATAAAGATAAATAAACAACTGAAGACTTGTTGGTTTAAATACAATGAGTTCAACCCCCTATACAATAACAACCAGTGAACCCCTCAACCGTCTTCACTGGATAATAGCTTCAATGTAAAATTCAAACAATATACAACTTTCTGATTGGATGAGAGGGTAACCACATGACCATGAAAACAGACTTTCACTAAAACTAACAGATTCTCAATCCCTGACCATCTTTCAGTTTGGGACTTGCACAACAAGGAGAAAGTCAATTCTGAAGAGGATGGTGACAATTAATGGACATTTATACTGGCAATGAATGTCGTCACAAAAATAAAAATAAAATGCTAAACTTCAGGAAACCCTATTGGTCAGGTGGGGAAAAAAATATATACCCTCTTATGGCAAACGCTTGTAACATTGTTTCAGGACTATTTCTTGTTGCTTTTTCAGACATAACTTTATTAAGGACATTTCAAGGCTCTTCTTGCCTCCCAACTTGAATTCATCTGACAGAAGCAAGAAGTGGCCATGAAATGTGCCTGCAAATGTAATGAGAACAAAAGCAATCCTGACATTTATGAACAAGAAGTTGTTATCCATAAAAAAGTGTCATCTCTTCATGATCATGTACTTCTTTTTTCTAACCTGTCTACCACTGACTATGCTGAATGAAATGGGCAGGAGGATGTGTCAGTGGTAGCCCCTCTGTTCTGTCTACCTGGAACAATCACTGACAGACAGAAGGTGGCCCACTGGGTACTGTGTCTTGTCATGAGACATACAGTCCAGGTTTGAATCCCGACACAAGCTTCCTGTTCTGGGACAACTGAACTATTTCTCTCCAAATGCACTACTACTGACTTCCAGAAGGTGGCCCACTGGTTACTGTGTCTTATGAGACACAGTTCAGGTTTGAATCCTGACATTTGTTAATCACTGGTTGTGTCCCTCCCACTCACATCTACAAAGCTGCTACAACTACTCGCGTCATGCTATGAGAGCCCTGGACTACATCCCTGCTGAAAACACAGGCCAACTCCCAAGGTTACACTACATCATACAAATATACACTTTAGCACAACACTCTCTGAATCTCGACTGACACGGAAGAGCGGCAGCCGCAACAACACTACACTGAAAGCCCTCTGTCATAATCTCAGCATCAGTTCACATCGACATGACATGATACAGCAGCTCTCTAAATAACTCACTTACAGGGCTGTACACTGGGTCACACGATACATAACCTGATAGTAACATAGTTATCAGATACGGTATCTCACAATGAAAACCGGGTACTTCTCATGTAAAGCTTTATAATACATCATCACTGAGGAAGCCTTGAGACGCAGCCTAATGTAGTTCATCTATCCAAGGCCACACTAATTCATTCACTTGTACAGTATGCCTGTCAAATGGTGACATTATTAAAGAACAATCTAATAACAAACATGTGATAATCTGGTCTGCTATAGTCTGTTTGCAGTGAAAACGTACCAATGAATGTCAATTTAAACAAAAAAGTAAATCGAATAAGATGAAATTAAGATTGCGAATCCTCATAATTTTACCTTGCCAACTGACCATTTAAATCTCAGAATTTTATTCAACTTAAGATAAAAGTTGTTTAACAAATGATCATAGTTTCAAATCGCTATTATTGGTTTGTATTACAAGGGTGTATACACATTAAATGAAACACCGAGAACAAGTAGAGTTGGTCTAAGTTAATGCTCATCACGAACCGCACGTGCATTTGTTTCACTGTTCCATCTACTGCGCTCACCCACTTGTAATACAAACCAATAATAGAGATTTGAATGTATGATCGTTTGTTAAACAACTTTTGTCCTACAATGAATAAAATTCTGAGATTTAAATGTTCAGTTGGCAAGGCAAAATTATGAGGATTCGCAGTCTTAATTTCACTTTATTTGATTTACTTTTTTGTTTAAAGTGAAATTCATTGGTACGTTTTCACTGCAAACAGACTATAATCATACTGAGGAACCATGATAACCTTGTTTAAAAATTTACAGCAACATCGACATTTAACTGCTTTTCTGTCTTGCTTGCTCATGTGAAGAGTTCACATGCTGCTGAAAAACAATTTAAAATTGATAAATATTTATTAAAAAAATAGAATAGAACTGGGCCCATTAAATACCTAATGCTGTAACAAATTAAGTCACTGATTTCTTTTTACCCACCTACCCTCCACATTTTTGAAACATTTGAGGATATGACCTATAACACACAGTCAGACCTAACATTTGACGGAAATATGTTTCAAAGTGTTCATAGTGCTCATTGTTCAAACACTGAAGGCCAAATGCTTCATGTTCAGAGTGTAGGTGCATGATATGCAAAAAGATTAAATGCAAATATTCTTGTAATCGCACACAGTTTGAATGGCACAAGAATAGTGTGTGATTTGAAGGTGGTGACTAATTAAAAGTGTGTCACAATGTGGTCTCCTGAGTTGTCATGGTTACGCACAAAGGAATGAGGTATTAACACCATATTACCATAGCCTGGTTATACAGATACAGGCGCCACTATTTTCAGTACTGCTCTCTGACTGAGTGAGTGAGTATGTGAGTTTAGTTTTATGCCGCACTCAGCAATATTCCAGCTATATGGCAGCGGTCTGTAAATAATCAAGTCTGGACCAGACAATCCAGTGATCAACAGCATGAGCATCGTTCTGCGCAATTGGGAACCGATGACATGTGTCAACCAAGTCAGTGAGCCTGACCACCCGATCCCGTTAGTCAGCCTCTTACGACAAGATTAGTCGCCTTTTGAGGCAAGCATGGGTTGCTCTTTGTTTCATGCTGATTGGCTAGTTCATTTCAATAGTTCCACAGTTTTATTCCATTAGTTTATAGAGTGTCATAGCAATGTGTTACTGAAAGGTAGTCACAAACGATTTCTTGCAACATTGTTCAGGGAACAGGGAAACAAATTTGATGTCTCCAATTGAAATTAGTGGAGCCCATATTTTTTCTGACATTTTCTCAACAACAAAATTACATCATGGGTAAGAATATGATCAAGAATAACCCACTCACAAATCAGAATTAGATGTCCCTCAAGCATTAATACTGAAAGTTCATAACGAAGGCTTGGAGCTTACAATATTAATTCCCTCGGTGCAAATAAGAATTACAGATTACCTGTCCCTGCATTAATACTGAAATTTATAAAAACGGCTTGGAGCTTACAACATTAATTACAAAATCTATCTCCTGTAAGGTTGTATGAATGAGAGAAGTTGATGTTAGTGCTTAAACACCTTTGTTCAATGTCATCTATTTGAACCCCGTGTGAGAATGACACACAAAAAGTACATGCCCAATTTAAAAGGGATAGATAACACTGACGAACAGTAACACTGGAAATCTTGACACTGCCCTAGCAATTAACACTGGGTTTGGTCATCAGTAATCAAGAAATTCCACAAATGATTGAGAAACATTGACGAGAATTTCAAAAATATTTCATGCTATACCTTAATGAAACCGTAATCTGGATGCTAACAAACACAAAGTTTGTTTGTTGTGTAATGCCCAACTGTACAACATTCCAGCTTCATGACTTTGGTCCACAAATGATCATATCTGGACCAGACTAGTGATCGATATCATGAGCATCAGTACAATTGTGACAGGATGACATGTGAGCCTGACCACTTGATCCTGTTAGTCGCCTCTTTTGACAAGCCTGGGCTGCTGAAGATCGATTCTGACATTGATCTTCATGGGTGTACACGCACTGAACTTGTCAGAATCAACTGCCACTTTGTATGCAGGTAAGAATTCTGCAATCGTACTGAAGGTTGGGTTCTGGATTAACAGTGTCCAGATTTACAAGATTCCACTCTATTCAGGATATAATCTGAGACATTCCATCAAATATTTCAAAACATGATGCACAAGGTAATTCATTTCCAGTTGTAACACAGTGACATACTCAGGCAGGCCAGTCACTAGTCCATGTCTCACTAGAAAAAGACGTACTGGAGGAACAAGACGTACTGGAGGAACAAGACGTACTGGAGGAACAAGACGTACTGGAGAAACAAGACGTACTGGGACCACAGTAGTTACTCATAGGGAGACAGAAGTGCCTGTCTGAACACACCTGTTTTCACAAATATCCCTTATCAACAATCTCCAACAATTCATAAACAACATTTGTTCAGAAGCAAACGGGGAAGTGGCTATCCTAGTGGATAAAGCGTTTGCTCACCATGCTGTTCACCATGGGTTCAATTCAACACGTGGGTAAAATGCGTGAAGCCCATTTCTGGTATCCCCTGCCGTGATATAGCTGAAATATTTCTAAAAGCGGCATAAAACCAAATTTTCTCACCCTAATTAGCTGTACATATGAAATAATTAACCAACTGATAGATATTTTATAGAAGATGACTTCTACGAGTGTCTACTCTCACTAACCACAATGAAGACATGGAGTCATTACACCAGTATCGCAGATTTGGAGAACCCAATAAATATCTCTCTCCATCCAATGAAATAATCTCTTTCTCATATACACGATTCTTGTATAAATGTTAAGTTGTAGACTCTGTGATTGGCTCATCCATGAGATCAACTTTTGGAGTGTCACTATCACTCGTCATGGCGACATGAGATGGCGTAGCATCCATGCTCTCTGTGAATTCAAGTTGCCGTGGTTCTGGTGCTGTGAATGGCTTGATAGGAGATGGTAGATTCAACGTTCCTTGTTCCTCGCTCTCTGCGTCAAGATCGATCTTCACCTTCCTCGGTTTTAGTTTCAAAGGGGTTCGTGTGAGAACGTCCTGGATTTCTTTCATAAAGTTTTCTTTGAACTCCATCATTTCTTGCTGTAGCTGCAGCGCCTCCGCTGCCACCTTCTCCTGCCGTTGTCGCAGTTCCCCAAGGCCCCGCAGGTTTTCCTTGCTCATCCGCAGGCCCTCACACATATACTCGTTCCCTGCTGATGGGGGCACGGCCTCACCGGACATGTAACGATCAAACTCGGACTGGGAGATGCTCAGTGAGTCAGCATTCAGGCTCTCGATAAAAGCAACTGCACAACACTGAAAACAGCAAGGAAATCAGTTAATCATAATCAGTTAAGAGAAGGCACAGAAAAGTAAAATTTAATATCACATCAGATTCAGTCTGTTAGTTGTTTAACATCACATTCAGCAATATTCCACCTATATGGCAGCAGTTTGTAAATAATCGAGTCTGGACCAGACAATCCAGTGATCAACAACATGAGCATCGATCTATGTAATTAAGATAAAATGGCATGTGTCAACCAAGTCAGCAAGCCTGACCATCCGATCCCGTTAGTTGCCGGGTTAGAACTGGTCTTCAGCAACCCATGCTTGTCCTTACCAGTTCTAACCCTCATCTGCGCGAGTCTGCCACATCTGACCCATAGTTTAGCATGTGTCAGTGTATTCGTTTAACACTGCACTCACCAATATTACAGCAACATGATGAAGACCAGACAATCCAGTGATTTGATATTTTGAGCAACATTTACCAGCAACCAATTCACCAAGACAGACCAACTGATTGATTTGGTTGCTTCCTACGACAAACATTGGTTGCTGGGGGCAATTCTAACTCACAATCCCTACTAACGGGGTTAAGATATAGCCGAGATTTATCTCTACGTAAATGCTGCAGTCTATCATATCGTAGGTCAATATTCCTAGGTGAACTCTGTTCAAACATGTTTCTGGATCTTTAAGCGTAGGTCAATATTCCCTGGGACTCACCAAGTTGGTGAAGTAGTAACCAGCTTCTCCACTCATGAGTCGACTGGGGTTAGCGAATCGTGTGATGTACTGAATGTTGGACTGGAGTCGCGGAGGGTTGGCTTTCAGCACGATGTAGATGAGGGCTGGAAGAAACTCATCAGCACTTGCTGGAACTTGCTTCGACTCACGGAGAAGCTCGAAGATATTCTTACTACAGTTGACCACACAGGCTAGTTTGTCCTGAGTCGCACGCTTTGAATCCATCTCTATGGCAACTGCAGAGAGAGAACATCAGCGTTATGTTTAAGTACATTTGGAGCTAAAGATTGTAATACTTAAAATATCAAGTGGACACATGGCCACATTTGAACTGAAGTGATCAGCTGAAGTCATCAGCAGCAACAAGAACTTTTTACTCCAACAAAGTTATCTGCCCCTTTCTGAGCACATGAACAGGGCAGGCTTGGCGTTTCCAGGTGGAACAGATTTTAAAAGGCAGGATGAACACAGATAAGAGAAACATGAGGGTGATTTGAGGCCATTTCTACCTGACTTGTGTCTACTTTACTTGCCAAGAATGGTTTGGATGTCTATTTGTCTCTAAATTTTGCTCTTGATTCAGGAAAAGAGGCAGGCCTGTGGCAAGACATTCAACAGTGACAAATTCTGAATATTCATCACTGCATTTACATGTTTTACATGGCTGCAGACACATATTTCATCCTTTGTATTGCCCCTTTTTCATCATAAAACAAACACAAATTTTCAGTAGAATCTACTGACCATATATTGATTGTTTGTGGTCATCTACCGACTTAACAACTTGCTGTGTGAGTGAGTGAGTACAGTTTTACACTGGTTTCTAGCTACCTTCCAGCAATATAAGTTTTACACCATTGGGTGGGGGTTTTCGAAATCAGCTTCACACATTGTACCCTTGTGGAAAATCAAACCCTGGTCTTCAGCGTTATGATGAACACTCGAACCACCGTGCCCCACAATTTAGTTCTGCAGATACCGATATTCTGGCTTAATATTAGCATTTTAATTGGAAATGACCTATTTACCATCAGCTAGCAAAGAAGATCAAGTAGGTTTACAAAACCCTGATGATATGAGTCCCAAGTTTAAGTCTACAATCCTACGACTTACATGTAATGGCTTGATCAATTAGCTGTCTGATCTGAGGATCGTGTTCATTGATCAGGGTATCCAGCTGCTGGGCTGTGATCCAATGAAGGCTCCGGATCCGGTTCTGTACCAGCAGATCTTTCTCCTCGTCTGTGGTGGAGGGCGGGCAGAACACTATGCGGTAGAGGCGTACCAGGATGTAGCGCTCTGTAAAGTCCAGGATCTTCTCTATCACGTCCTGGTTCAACCCTGCAACATGGCGATAAGATCATTTACACCGTCCAGGACTAATATAAAATTAGAAGCATTTAAAAACACTGTAGTTTTTGTTAAGTGGGTTGCTGTTCATTTTATTGAGAGGTCCTTGTTTTCTTCAAGTGCATTAAAATGTTTACCATATTTGAGTATAATGACTTCATTTAAGGAGAATATTATAAACTATCAATGTATTAGTTTGAGTGGCATTCTAGAAGTTGGTGGAATGGAGGTGACAAAACTTTATGGATGATCAACTTCTGTATTTTCTCAATAGCGATGTTTCGGTATAGCTTGTAAATGGTATAAGAAGGTATAAGAATCTATAACGAAATGTCGCTATCGAGAAAATATAGAAGTTGATCATCCATAAAGTTTTGTCATCTCCATCAATGTTTAACACTTCTAAAACAGAGATGACATAGGAATGAAGCATTTACCTTTTTCAAAACAAAGATGTACAACAATAAACTCGGTATAAACTAATGTTCTCACTACGATATTCTACACAGAACATCACTCTGCCTATCTTGTGAGGCAGCACAGCCTCTGTCATCAACCTACCTGTCAGACCACAGATACTTAGACACCCTATCTGTGAGACCAGACAGAAAGACACTGAGACACCTGCCAATCTGTGAGACCTAGACACCTGCCTATTTGTGAGACCACACACCAAGACCAAGAAATCAGCCTATCTGTGGGACCACATACAGGTCATTGAGACATTTGCCTATCTGTGAGACCACACACAGAGACCAAGACACCTCCCTATCTGTGAGACCACATACAGCTCATTGAGACATTTGCCTATCTGTGAGGCCACACACAGAGACCTACACACCTCCCTATCTGTGAGACCACACACCAAGACCAAGAAATCAGCCTATCTGTGGGACCACATACAGGTCATTGAGACATTTGCCTATCTGTGATACCAAATACAGAGATCAGGCCTTATGCCTGTCTGTGAGACCACATACACAAATTACGACTTCGGACTATCTGCAAGACCACAAACACTCCTCACGACATCGACCTGTGTGTGATACCACAGAAACGCCCAGAGACAGCTTCCTATATGCGTGACCACAAGGACACCAAGACACTCACCTTTGAACACAGTGTGAGAGTTGAGCCTGTCTGAGAGACCCTGGTAGAAGTCTTGGACTGTCTCAGACAGGTCGTCTATCGGCTGCTCCCCGCTCTGCTGGATGCGCTCAATGAAACTGCGGACTTGCTTTGAGATGTCAAGTGCGGCAGGCTTACGAAGGGTCTTGAGAAACTCCGCAAACTCTCCCCCTACTTTCTGACTCTCAATGCTAGACCTCCGCGTCTCTTTCTGAGTGTGGCCATGTTGGTCTGCTGATGTGTCTAGACGAGAAAAACAAAACTTGAACACATGCATTTGCAAAAATACCAACATAATTGTGTATTTCTTAACGAGGTAGGATAAATTTCAAAAATACTATATTTTCTGAATGAAACAAATCTTGAAATTAACATCAACATTACAGTTGTCATTTGGACACAAAGTGGGGAGACAACTCTGTTCAAGGTAGGCATGCAAAGTACACTGAGTCAATCCACAAAACAGATAACTTCATTTATATGTTGCCTTAAGTTATGGATCATTGAGATAATATGAATGTCTTTACCATAAATGATGACATCCTTCTATTATATATTATATTCCATTCATTGATTTAACTCACTAAATTTGGGGTTCTTGATAACATGCATCTGAACTCTCTGTAAAAATATATATGTCACTGAAGGATATTACACAATAGTGATTTCGGCAGAATTGTGGAAGGGAACAACACAAAAGGTATCACATGTCATAGAAGTGCTTCACACAGCTTTCAGCAAGACAAGCTAACACCATAACCAATAAGTGATGCACTGCCACGATATACTGACAAATATGTAGTAAGAGGTTTCAGGTCCAGTAAATATCAAAATATTCTTTGTAGTATGTGCATACCTTTCACTGGTGTGCGTTTGAATATAGACTTCATAGTGTGGCTGCGCTTGTTGATCTGTTGTGTTTTCTTCTCCGCGAACTTGGAGAAGGAAGGCGGAGGCGTGTCCCCCGTTCTGAAAGACACGAGTAATTATATTGAATACCACACAATACGAGACTTAGGAGACAATAGGAGGCTAAGGTGGAGTGATGTCTGAAGTTTCGTAAATTATACAAAAAATCTGGACAACCACAGTTACCTCTACCTGTCTAATCACTAGATACAGTAGACATTCATTATAAACATAATACTGAAATTTGGTTGAGTAAAATCTTCCTGAAATGATGAAGACATTTTTTCTCTTTTTGATAAAAACGACATTTCTTTCCTTTCAAATATATGTTAAATTAAGAGTACTAAACATAAAATGAGGCAAAAGCAAGATGCACATTGATCTTTTCATTTTGTAATGGCAGCTGCAGCCATGATGGTAACCCCAGATGACTGTGCCTATTCTACTCCTGCTGCCATAGGTCACAAGTCTCCGCCTACTGGAGAAATAAAATGTTCAACATAGCGTCCTACAAATAAATATATTCAGGCATACAAAGGGTAAGATATTTAATCATTGATCTGACAGAAAATCTGCTCAGACATTAGTGAAATGCCCAATTTTCCAATCTTATACAGTACAAATTACTAATACTATATTGTTAAAACAATATTAGCATTACTATTATTTATACTGGACTAGCCAAACCAAATGAACATAAAACCCATATATTAAATATTACAATTTTTTAAAGAATATTTCTTGGCATTTGTCAAGCTGATCAATATTTGTTAAACCATGTTTATCGTGTCAACAATTAATCTTAAATTCCTTCCAAACCAGTAACCAACATTTGGCCCATTTCCTATATTGTACCATTACACCAACAAAACTGATCAAGATGAAAGTAACATTCAAGTGTAACCTACTTACACAAAATATAACCATTAAACATTGATATACCACTCAGCAATATTTCAGGGCCATCCAATTCTTTCATATGTGCATGACAGATTAATATGAAAGAATGGAAGTCTATCAATGTTGTGAGTGGTAAATCTTGCACCTGCAACACTATCACCAACTTCATCAATTTTTGCCTCAATTACGGACACTGGCTGCAATCAAGTCTCTCTGACCTTCATCATTAGTTTAACACTGGTTAAATGATGTTCATCCAGTCAAATATACAGTCCATTTTAATTTCTTCCTCTACAGGATATAAACCGTACAGTTGACACACCAGTGTATTGTCGATATGTCATTGTGCCTGTCACAAAGCTGTTACATTTATCAATAACTTAACCACATGGCTCCCTTTGGAGACATATAAGGTACAAAAAAAGGATCAGCATCGTCAATTACAAAATATAAATTGATGTCGATGCTGTCAGCATAACAGGGATGTGACATGTGGGAAATGTCATGTTCAAGATTCTTGCAGTGTGTGTGTGCATGGGTTCAGCTTTTCCTATCTTATTCCATTTGTTTTCCTCACATCGCAACACAGGCATCCTAGCTTTCATTCACCTTATTAGGTCTGGCTAAAAAGATTGATAATCAGAAATATTGTTGATGTGATAAAAGATTATCATTCACCACTCACCGGTTAAATTAATTAACTGATAACTGATCAATATTAGATATCAAATAAGGTTGTTATTTTTGTCATATGATAATAGAGATTGATACAGATCAATATTACTTATCAATTATCATGCAGATAATTATTCAACATCAGCAGTACGTACTCCTTATTTGTTCAATATTGAGTACTGGAAAACCTTAAGTGTACATTTAGAGTACTGAATGGAAGCTAATGGACTATCAGTAATCTTGTGTTTCGTTTCATATATGCACCACAACATTGCCACTCTTGTGTAAACAGGTCAATAAACAATAAAACAATACTTTTTTTCAGATAAATACGTCTGTAAATGATTCTAAGACCGTACACCATTGCTGTGGTGCATATCTGCTACGTTTTCTAAATTATTTCCTACCTTATCGTGCATATTGTTTATCCATACATACGCCAATACGGCCCTTATCTTGTGCCCTGAATTATTAATCTGTATTATCTACATTGATAGTAAGCCTTACACCTGATGAAATAATAAGCTTATACAATGAATTATTGAACTCCATACAATAAAGAAGTTGACGATTAACTCTCTCCCTTACATATATCACTTCTAATTGCTGTTTAAAGATTTGACACATAAACCCTTTGTGTCCATATTTATGACTATCGGGGTATGAACATCAACAAACACATTACCTGTACAGAAACAACTGCAACTTGAATCTCATAACTCCTGTCATGAAACCTTGGATGCTGTTCAACTGCTATGCACTTAGCAAGCTGACATGCAGCAAATTATCATAATCATGTCTAACCACTAATCAGGAAGTGAAGCATGTCTCCCTCAATGAATATACGTAGGAGAGTGACAAACACATTTCTACAATATGGCAATCTAAACCACTATCAATCAACAGACTGATGCACATTTTTCTGAATCAGAAACTTGTAGATACTAATTCTTGAGTACAATTTTGATGAGGCTATTTTAACACTAACAAAACACAAGTAAACAAACCCATTGTTGGAGTAAAACAAGGAGTGTTTTTCTGGCGTGGCTTTTTGAATCACTTGGGAATATGTTAAGGATCAGAGGTCATACCCCCAGGCATATTAATTTTATGGTGGATCATTGGGCATTAATCTGAGCCATTAATATGTCACCTTTGCCAAAAGCAATATATACACAATGGGGTGGGGTGGGGGGTGGGGTTGTTAAGACAGTTTGAGTGAGTGTGTGTTTGAGGTGTGTGCCTGTGTGCGTGCCTGTGTGCGTGCGTGCATGTGTGTGTAAAGATTAGACTGGTGGAAAGTATAAAACATGACCAGTTTTGTTGACTTGTCATGCTTGTGGTGACGTAAAATGACATGACAACCACGAGGTCTTAATAAATTGGGATCAATATATCGGCATGTCACTTTCAAACCTGGTTGTTAGTCATTATATTGACAGCAAACATAATAAAAACATTATCTTCAAGGTTCCTCCACCAAAATAGGATGCAGAGTCTGTTATCAATACAATGTATTAAACAACTATTTGCCAACCTTCACAATAACAATAAAGAAAATTACTTTAAAAAACAGATTTTGCCTCCAAGGCACTGTATGATGAGCTGATTGATCCTGGCAAGTCACTGATAAACCAGTGAAATATACCGAGCAGTAAATTCAGAACTTAAGTTTCATTCAGTTTTAGCTTAAATGGCAAACAAACCAATCTACCACTTGAACAAGTACATGATTTTTTAACTTTGTTGTTTAATGTGCATTCAGCATTATTCAAGCTATACGATGGCAGTCTTTAAATAAATGAATCTGGACCAAACAATCAAGTGATTGCTTCCATCAAAATCAATCTCACTACATGACAAAGACATGCATCAACACAGTCGACAAGCCTGACCACCTGATCCTGTGGGTCTCTTCTTACAAACATGGGTTGCTGAAGACCAATTATAACTTGGATCTTCCCTGGGGAACTAGTCTTGACTAGCCATAGGTAGTAACATATTACTTATTGACTGGTCGAACAAAAAGATTGCTAAGTTTAGCTGGTAGTTTAAGTTCTAGCTCAGGATCAATATCAGACTTGTCTATGGTCCTCAATATCCAAGTTGCTAATTATATGCTAAAATAAGATTACTAAGAAAACATATTCCATTTTTATATACCCTGAAGTAATAATATCTGTGAAGATCTGGGTTAGATTGGTCTTCAGCAACCCATGCGTGTCGCAAAAGTGATTGATGGGATTGGGGGTCAGACTGGATGACTTGGTTGGCACATGTTATTGTCTCCCAATTGCGTAGATTGATGCTCATGCTGATGCTCACTGGATTGTCTGGCCCAGACTCAATTATTTACTGACTGCCGCCATACAGCTGGAATATTGCTGAGTGCGGTAATAAACAACAAACAAACTTAAGTAATAGAAGTTTAAAATTTGAAAATCAAATGTTCATGAACATGTGCCGAGATGCCAACCCTGAATCTAAGGAAAAAGGAGTCATGACTGGCTGAAAGCCAGGCCTGAGCACCAAAGGTGCGAGTTGGGGGTGAGTGCTTGGTCAGCTCTGCCATTTTGTTTCACTTTCATACAGACTATGCATTCGGAAATACTTTGTGAAACTTCATCGTCAATAACACGCAATATACAGAATTGACACCCAAAGGATCACTTGCTAATCTTCTGAATGCTTTTACCAGTGTTCACTCAAATAAATCACCGGTGACTTACAAAATTGTATATCATAAAAATAAATTCAGAATCTTTTCTTAAAAATTGGAGAGCAGGTTTTGTATTTGAAAATCAGAGTAACCCTCCAAAATCGGAGTGGTTGGCATCTCTGCATGTGACATGGAATATATTTAAAATCTAATGAAGAAAGTATTTTGTCTTACCTTTTGGATGCTTCCCGCATGGCATCATGCTGTTGCTGTGCTTGTTTCGCTGGCTGATACACCTCTCGGTAGCACTTGGAACAAAAGCCCTGCCATGCTGGGTTACCATAGAAACCACAGCCATTTTTACACAACAAGTCTGCTGACTCCAAGTGAAGTTTCTTGGACGTTTTCTTTTCCTTACTCATCTTGTGAGCTGGGGGCTAGTACTCAGCTATGGATCTGAAAGACAATTTCAAACAACTTAATAGAAGAAACTGAGGTACATATATAATAAAACATTTCAAATTCACCATTAACTATTTTCTGTTACCTTACTCAAGAAAATGAAGTCAGTGCAGATCTACAGATACAATGAAAGTGTGACGCCTGCCAGACCCAACTCCAGATACTAACAGAGAAATTCAATATCTGAAGCTCCTAACAGTGAAAGCCCAGTCCCGGAGCTCTCTCGCTAACACAGCTCCTTGCTGTGGTAGGTTGGCTACAACTATGAGTTGAGTTGTACACATAACCCAACCAGACTATAAAGTGAGTGAGTGAGTGAGTGGGTGGGTGAGTGAGGGAGGGGGGAAGGAGGGAGGTTTATATGGTAGCACTGATGAAGAACATGAAAGCAAAACAATATCCCTATGGTCATGATCAAAATGACAAATAGTATCTGGAAATATATCACCTCTTGATACGACAGTCACCATGTCTGTCTGTCACAGAGTCGGAGTCGGCATGAGCAATTTTTTTCCAAACTGCCCAGCTGTTATTATAATGCTACAGTTCTACATGAAGCAGTCTTGAGTTTCCACAGGTTCTATCTCCCATCTCACGTGAAGTCAATCATCACTCTAAATGGAGTACTTTGTTTCTATCAAAATGCTTCAGAAACTAAGCAATAGTCAATAATCCATTTCATAGCTATATTTGAACAAAATCTCCAGAGCACCCTGGATGACTATCAGTTAGAGTTCTACAAATTGATCAAGAGTCCATATGCCTGCTATCATTTTCTTTATAAATAGACAATGATAACAATCAAACATATTTGCCCTAGGCTTCCTACTAGTGTGTCTCACAGTCCCTGAACCATATTATTTTCCCTTCCACACTGATATTTCTGCAATGCGAAAATGCTAAATGTAGCAAGACTTTATTTTCCTCAGGTTCAGGAATCTCCCAGCTAACTGGGACTTTTTTAATTTGAATGGAATTAGTTCTTTTTATCAAATCTATATTTATCCAGATACAAAGTATTTGTCTAGCTGCCTACTGGTAAATCAACTTCACAGGTACCCACCTACATTCCTAGTCTCCGAATCCATGGAAGGGTGTAGGCAAATTCAAATATTCAAAGACAGCCTGTGATTATAACTTAGGTTACTGAGCCTGTTGCTGAGTGCATAGACCAACAACTAGTCTCTGAAATGAACATATTTTACTGAAAAGAGTTCATAGTAAAAAAAAAACAACATTTAATGAAAAGGAGCCCTGAGACTTTCTTCATTTTCTGAAGCTGAGGAAATCTAGACTTGCCACATTTTCTAGACTTACGTGGGCTTTCTTGGATATATTTGCTTCAGGGTCTGTACGACAGACTACTGAGTGCACTGTGTGTTAACTAACAGAACACCATGGCCTCCAGGGAAGTGACCTGACTCGACATGCTTCAAACATTAATGAACAACTAATGATGCTGACTAATTTACTATGTGCTTTTCACACACAAACTCCAGATAGGCTGGATGATAAGTACCTTATTGTCAACATACCCAATTACCTAATTAATTGTCAACATACTCAATTACCGAAATGATTTTGAATATACTCAATTACCTAATTAACTTTCAACATACTCAATTACCTAATTAATTGTCACTTAACGACAAACAACACATGTGTCAATAAGCATGCTAAATTTAGATAAACAGAAGATGTCACAAATACATATAAAGTGCACTATGTCTCGCAAATTGTTAATCAGACATTTAATGCAACATATTACACACTTGGAGTGGCGCATGAACAAACACAAACATGAAGACATATAAAACAGAATTAAATACAATGCTCAGTGGTTTAAAAACACTGGACAGGAATCAAGAGAATAAATAATTTAAATGCCAAGTAGGCCATCAATATATAATAATAACTATGATAATTGTGAGTAAATATTCATAATGAAATACTCAAACATTATTTTGAGCCCTGAACATGTGTACAACAGACATTTAACGTTCAACTTGCAAATTGAAGATGTAAGGCATCACAACTAATACACATTATGACAAAGTACTGCTACTTCTTGAAACAATGTAATTTGTTAAAGTTCACAGAAAAACCAAATCATATGATCACTGTGTCTGTACATCATGAATCTGAGACTGTCCAGAGGCAAACTTACAACAAAGACCTGACACACTCCAGGAATGCATTGAAATCAGGTTCTCACCGTTTGCCTTCGGGCTTGACTTTAGGTTTCGAAGTTAAATCCCATTATGAGACCAAGAATCTTGTGAAGCAAATATAAACACTCTGTCATCTCTAATGCTGATGACAAAGCTGACATGAGATGTGTAAATAACTTGACTGTTTAACATGAGCAGTAGGCAGCAGCTGGTCGTCTTACATAATGATCTAACTTATGAATCACCAGCTGACTGAATCACCCACAGCATGCATCACCAAATGGTGTGGCCCCTCAGTAACCCCCAAATAGTGTGGCCCCTGACAACAGTAACCATGGTAGCTGATGGAGAGATGTGTGGAACCAGTGCATCACCAAATAGTGTGGCCAGTAACCATGACTACAGGAACAGACCATGGTAGCTGATGGAGAGATGTTGGAACCAGTGCATCACCAAATAGTGTGGCTCCTGACTACAGTAACCATGGTAGCTGATGGAGAGATGTGGAACCAGTGGAATTAGTGCATCACCAAATGGTGTGATGGAGAGATGTGTGGAACCAGTGACAACAGTAACCATGGTAGCTGATGGAGAGATGTGTGGAACCAGTGCATCACCAAATAGTGTGGCCCCTGACTACAGTAACCATGGTAGCAGATGGAGAGATGTGTGGAACCAGTGTGCATCACAACAGTAAATAGTGATGAGATGTGTGGAACCTGACATGACAACAGTAACCATGGTAGCAGATGGAGAGATGTGTGGAACCAGTGCATCACCAAATAGTGTGGCCCCTGACTACAGTAACCATGGTAGCTGATGGAGAGATGTGTGGAACCAGTGCATCACCAAATAGTGTGGCCCCTGACAACAGTAACCATGGTAGCTGATGGAAAGATGGGTGGAACCAGTGCATCACCAAATAGTGTGGCCCCTGACAACAGTAACCATGGTAGCAGATGGAGAGATGTGTGGAACAAGTGCATCACCAGGCACAGCACTAGCAGTCTAATAAATAATTATCATCATCATATCTGTCACCTCAGTTAATCAGCTTCCATATATATTCATGATTCAGTGGAGCTGAAACACATGAGTTTGCAGCCTTGGTTGTGAGTTTTTCTTTCTGTATAGAAATCACCAACCATAGGAGGTAAGTACACTTGATCAACAGCTTGCGCTTGTATCACAGAGAGACAGCTCAGGAGAGGAATGGATACATAATTTAAAGCAATCTCTACACATACACATAACTGAAGAGCAAACTGTACCCTCCCAAAACTGTAGCATAATTTCTACACCAACAAAACTGTAGCAGTCCACCCCGACAAAACTACTGAGAAATTCTTACACCCTCAAAACTCTACTGCACTTATCCACTTCTCACCCTCTCAAAACTGTACAGCATTCTCACCTTTCAAAATTGTACAGCATTCTCACCTTTTCAAAACTGTACAACATTTTCACCCTCTCAAAATTGTACAGTATTCTCACCTATCAAAACTGTACAGCATTCTCACCTTTTCAAAACTATACAGCATTCTCACCTTCTCAAAACTATACATTTTCACCCTCTCAAAATTGTACAGCATTCTCACCTTTCAAAACTGTACAGCATTCTCACCTTCTCAAAACTATACAACATTTTCACCCTCTCAAAATTGTACAGCATTCTCACCTTTCAAAACTGTACAGCATTCTCACCTTTTCAAAACTGTACATTTTCACCCTCTCAAAATTGTACAGTATTCTCACCTATCAAAACTGTACAGCATTCTCACCTTTTCAAAACTATACAGCATTCTCACCTTCTCAAAACTATACAACATTTTCATCCTCTCAAAATTGTACAGCATTCTCACCTTTCAAAACTGTACAGCATTCTCACCTTCTCAAAACTATACAACATTTTCACCCTCTCAAAATTGTACAGCATTCTCACCTTTTCAAAACTGTACAACATTTTCACCCTCTCAAAATTGTAGTACAGCATTCTCACCTTTCAAAACTGTACAGCATTCTCACCTTTTCAAAACTGTACAGCATTCTCACCCTCTCAAAACTGAACAGCATTCTCACCCTCTCAAAACCGTCTAGCAACCTGTACCCTTTTAAATTATAACAATCTGCATCTTCCCTCCCAGGCCAGGGAGTTGACTGACCATACAAGTCCATCCTTGGAATTTCATGGCTCGATAGAAGTATGGTATGACCAGAAATTATTGAGAATTTTAGGAATATGTTTAATTGGATTTCTAGTATAAACAACCTTGACCAGCTATCAAGTGCTCGGTTTCATTCAAGAGAGACAACTCTGTTAATCCTTTTTCATTAGTTTGTGAAGAGTTATCCCCCTTTGTTTACTTGCTAGCCGAAGACATTTTCAGTGATCCTCAGTATGGATGATTTAGAGAAGAGTAAGTTGATTTTAGAGTATTATAACAAGGACATCAGATCAGCTAAAGTGATTTCAAGTAGAACAGGCATCCCTTTGTCCACTGTTTATCGTGTTTTGAAAAATATTGCAAATGGATATGACATTCAGCACCAGGGAGGCGCAGGTAGGCCCAGAAAATGGACTGTCGGTGACAGGAGTTGGCTTGGTATTCTTGTTTCTAAAAACAAACGAAGGAGTCTAGAAAACTTAAGGCTGGATATGATTGATAGAGGAACTGTGGCTGTCTTTAAGGAGACAATTAGAACTGAGCTGCATGCAATGGGTTGGCAGAAAAGTCGAGGAATTCCATCACAGATCATGAAACCTGAACAAAAGGAGTGAAGGTTGAACTGGTGCTTACAGCATAGACATTTTAACTGGGACAATGTGATTTTCTCAGATGAAAGTTCTGTGTGGCTGTTTCCTAATACACTGAAATTCTGGACCAAACAAACTGAAAAACCTTTGTATCAGTGCCAAAAGTACAGTCCGAAATTAAAGTGTGGGGTGGCATATCTGCGTAGGGGCAACGCCCCTCTGTGTATTTGAAGGGAATATGAACAGTGAGCGGTACACAGATATTCTCGAGGGACATTTACTTCCATCTGCTCACGTGTTCTATGGAAAATATTTTGATTTTCCAGCAGGACAACGACCCAAAACATTGTTCACAGCATTCACAAGCCTGGTTTCGAACCCAAAATATGACATTATTAGATTGGCCAAGCTATAGCCCTGACCTAAATCCAATAGACAATGTTTGGGGACTTATGAAGGAAAGTGTCAATAAGAAATATCTGACAAATATTGCTGAAATGAAAGAAGAGGTCGTCCGATATTGGGAGAGCATGGACCACGACTTTCTTACTTCTTTGGCAGTAGTATGCCCCGCCGCATTGAAGCCTGCATTGCTGCCCATGGTGACTTGACAAAATACTATCTGTTAACCTGTCTTTGAATCTGGAGTTATGTTCTGCTAATATTCACATTTATTACGTGAGTAATAAGTGAAAAATATATAAAAAATTACAATCTTTAAATTCTCAATAATTTCTGTTTGTACTGTACCTCCTGTGGCTATAATGAGTTATGTCCATTCTATGTCCCTCTTATTGGCCTATCTATTTATTATACTTGCATTTGTCTTAAACAGGCTGGCACTGTTAAGATGATCTGATCAATAATCAAGAGCTACACTGTAATATCATGGGTCTTACCTCACAAACAAATAGCATCAACTTACTAGGTGGGATAGCCTTACTAGGTGGTTCAAGTGGTTGCTCGTCACGCCGAAAAGCCAGGTTCGATTCCCTGGTGCGAAGTCCATTTCTGGTGTCCCCCGCCATGATATTGCTGGAATGCTGCTAAAAAGCAGCGCAAACCTAAACTCACTCCCACACTCACTGACTGTAACTTACCAAAACTGATTACAAACGGGATGTCACTTTTTATTCAACTTTGCAAAGTCTTGTTAGTCAGCCAAGAGATAACTTAGACTATCCAGCCTAGTTCTGCAAGGGTGAAAACTGATGGTGGTGGTATAGTTTAGGGGCAACTTTGACCAGAAATATTATGAAAACTGCTTTTTTTTAAGTCAGTTAGCTCCTTTGCCTTGGAAAGCTGAGCTGTACATGCCCCATCAAAACTGTACAACAATCCATAACCGCTCAGATATATATTATTTTCATTTTTCCCATTATAAACGAATGTTATGAGTGTTCTAGTTTAGTGAAACAAACATTATACATCCATATCACTATCCAAGTTCAATATCACATATCATGTATACGCCTTTTATGTTACAATAATCAATATGATATTTCATTTCAAACATCCAAATGTATTATTATAGCTGACAGAGCTTACCAAAATTCAATACTGCCAGGAATTAGTCAAACCACATGTGACTATTCAAATAGTTCTTTGTCTGTGTTGTATGGAGCATGACTATTCCCATTCCAATGAGGATTGGGTTGTAATGATCTCATCTACATATCAGGGATCGAAATAGCGCTGAATTTGTGTACCATGGCACGGAAAATATTGAAAGGCACAGATGAAATATATTTAAAGTGCCCTGGCAGAACGACTAAAATTATACAAATCATACACACCATGATTCGTTTAATGGAAAATGTAATAAATTTGAGCAACTCAAATAACTCAAAAGCTACTTTTTCACCCCTTAAAACTGTGGCACTCTTAATCTCATAGCTTAACATGGGTGTGGCCATTTAAATGCCAGTAAGCATAACAGGAAATGCAGTTTTGGATGATAACATACTTTGTGGGTCAGTTTATGGGTCTGGGGAAAATGAAGCTGAACAATTCTTGCAGTCATGATAGTGTTCAGGAAATCTATCTCTCAAATTTAGAGGTTGGACTAATGCTTAGTCAATGAATATATATAATTTTGACAGCAACAAATAACCCCATATAAATTGAAAAGGGGCCAAAGTGAGCTGGGAGATTCAGGACATTAGGAAATCTAGACTTGCTTCATTTAGGGCTTTAGCATTGCAGGTAGGGCTGGGGACGATTCACCGATGCATCAATGCATCGCGATACATTTAAGTTTGATACAGCTATCGTATCGTGGACTGGTGTATCGATACAAAACAATACACAACTTTTTTTCAAAACTGTATTATCTTAAACATGTTACAGTACTTATTTAGAGAAAAATATACCAGCATGATGGAGTTACTTGTTTGTTTATTACAACAGTGTTATTGTTAAACACAAATACCTTGAAATAAATCATTTTAAATCTTGATACTGTGTCATTCTTTCAAGGTGTATGTATCGTATCGCAGGTAAAATATGGCGATATGTATCGTATGGTGACATAGTGTATCGTCCCAGCCCTAATTGCAGGGAGGGCTAGGAAGTAGGAAAATAATGTGGTTCAGGGACTGTGCAACAGACTAGTTAACAGGTTTCAACTGGAACATCAGAAGGTATGGGCACACATATTTTCACAAAGGCACACCTTGCCTTTCAGGTGCCTTATGACACCCTTAAAAAATGCATTTCCATCTCTGCATATATTATATGATAAAATCATGGTAATTGTTTCAAAAATCTATCAGGAAAAGTCCCTTGATTCTTAACAGAAATAGAGCAATTAGCAACATTTATCAATAAAATCAGAAATTCTGAAACTTCAACCGGACTGTTTTTCTTCTTTTGATTGTGTTAGTAAGGTCATGAGCTACTTTTAGCAATATCCCAACAGTATCATGGTGGGGACACAGGACGGGTTTCAAACATTCTACTCATGTAAAGGATCCAACATGGGCCCTTGTCATGGCGAGTGTATGCTTTAACAACCAGACTTCTCCCTAAAGTCCTAGACTGTGGGACTCGTGAAGATCTGGGTTAGAACTGGTCTTCTGCAACCCCTGCCTGTTATAAGAGGTGACCAATGGGATCTAGTGGTCAGCATTGCTGACATGGTAGACACTTTATCGTATTCCAATTGCATTGATCGATGATCGTGCAGTTGATCACTGGATTAACTTGATTATTTACAGACAGACACCATAATACTGGAATATTGTTCAGTGGCATCAAAAAACTAACACAGAGTGTGGCTCACACAAGAGGTGAAGTGAAATTGGGTTTAACGTCGCGCTGGAGATATTTCGCTCATAGGACGACGTGCATGCGTGTGTATGTGTATGTGCGGCTGCTTGTACTAGCCCAGACTGAAGCTAGTTTATAGTGCTAGCCCACTGAGTTACCATACCGCAGTGAAGCATGAATACCCCACTCAGACACATTATACTGACTCCAAGGCGACCAGTCATTGTTGTACCCATTAATGCCGAGCGCCAGGCAGGGACCAACAAGTACCATATTTTAATGTCTTTTGGTATGACGCGGTCAGGGATCGAACCCGCGACCTTCCGCTCTCCGGGCGGACGCTCTAACCACTACACCACGGAGGCAGCCTGGCTCACACAAGAGAGGCATTGCCTTGAGAGCTCAATTATCATTTTCGTTCCCTTTGAGTTAACAGGCTGGGATTTATACCACTGTCAACAATTTGTCAGTTACAATGTATGTCAGTGAACTATGAACATTATAAACAAAACATAATGAACTCAAAGGATCACTAGTGCTAGCTTATAGTCTGTATTATACATTTCGACTAACATATACATTTAGTAGCTGGAACAAACAACAGTTCACTATATGTGTTTGTATGTAAGTTTGTTATTAGTGTATTTGTTATAAACATAGTTTACTGTATATCAACCATTTCAACTTCAGGTTAGTGGAAGTCAAAAGTATTGTTAAAGGATCAAAGAAGAACCAAGAAATTCCTCTATTATCTATAATTACTTGAATATATGCTGTTATAACTCAGTAGCCCGAGTAACAGAATCTACAAACATGATTACGAATATCAGCTGATATATTCAGAAACAGCAGCTGCAGTCTCCACAAGTAATGGTAATATACTATACATATGTATCATATATCGTCATGATCATAGGTTCAGGGATTTGACTGGGATACTAAACTAGCAGCCCTGGTGTACACACTGGGAAAATATTGTTACTTTGGTCAACATTAAGACTTTGGAAAATTCCTACTTTCATCAATTTAGAGATATATTAACTTAATTTATCATCAAGATACAACTCATGTTACAAAGCTATAAAAATCATTAGTTATTCAATTACTTACAGACTGCCACTGGAATATTGCTCAGTGCAGAATGAACAACAAACATACAAACTTTGTTATTAACTGTATAGTAACACATTTGAGAAAACCAAATTCAAATCTGGGACTTCTTGATGAAATTTGATGCAGATTTAGGGCTGATTATTAGCATCTGAGCCGATCTAGATATAGTCCTGCTAGATTATATTCATAAATGGCAGGAGATGACCATTCTGACCACACCTCAGACCATCACCCAATCAAATAATGCTTGACTGGTTATACCCCATTTTGGCTCACTGCTATTGGACACCTTTGTTGAACATGTCCTTGATAGACTCAGGCAAATACAGAAGCATGACTCAACTGAAACGCACCATACAAATCACTGTGTTAGGCAAGTAATGGCTGTGTAAAGGATGGGGTGATAACAAGTGATTTCTTCTGTTTGCATGGTTTAAGCATAAAATATACAACAAAACGTCCAGATAATTGAACTTGTCTAAACTTCTTTACGTGCACAAAATCTTTCACCTCTAAACTCTTTATATATTCATATATATCAATAATTCAGTAAGCCGAAAGTCAGAACTTAATGACATCTTTCTGGTCTCGTAAAACATATACAATGTACAGGTATATATTCCTCATCATGATAATCATGTATTCTGAATGAATAACATGAAAAATATACAGTGAACACTCACAAAGTGACAAAACAAAGAACTGAATACAAGATATTAACTTATCCAAGATCACTTTTATCATCGGTTTTTTACAGCAATTCATTTCATCAATGGCAACTGCCACCTTTGAAGTTGTCTTTCAAGTCACCACCATTTAGCATGTTAGCAAGATGGTATCTTATTTATGATGTATCTTATACCATATGTAGACATACCAACAATCAGCAGGGGCAGAACAGAACAGATGTTTGATCAACATGAAGACTACAACCTACAAGCCCTTTGTCAACAATTTACAGATACATAGCAGAGGGAGTCAATAGCAATTAAAAGAAGCAGGATTTGATATATTTTAAGATATACATGACTATCATGAGATGTTTTGCTACAACATTTTAACAACTGTTTTAGTTTATCTTCACTTGGATTTTACCAGTAATGATTGTAAATATGATTAACTCTACAACTGTTCCATGGCAGACACAATGATAAGTTATCATACTCATCCCTGTTAGATTGTTTACAAATTCAAAACATTTGCAATCTCTATTAGTACTGATGTAGTATCTTTTTTTAACTTGTGAGCAGATATTACAAGAATAGCAAGATTTCTTATGAACAGAGGTAAAACATTGAAGTATATTTCGTAAGTAAATACAACTTTGATATTACTATAAACAGAGAGTTTTGGTGATTTAGATATTGTACAATTCCATTCTTGTATATAATCATCTATACATATTTACATTGACAATTTTGTAATCATCAGATAATGAATTATATGACAGTGGTACTTGATAGTAATTACTCTATATAATCTTAAACCCAAACCTTATGATTCCTACATACTTTGTAATATCCAGAGGATATTAGCCACCATATACGGCAGTGATACATGCTTTAGTTTGGACACGTTCCATTAGAGATTTTTGCGTGAACACAATATCAGGAGCATTTTTAACACCCAAAACCATGACACCATTGGTCATATCACTTACCCTTGTCAATAGTAAATTTCAGACTACTGGTTTGTGTCCATATCTAGATTGTAACCAAAACATTCCGTCACTTTTCCAAACTGTTGACACTCTGATGGGTAAGAGTGAGTGAGTTTTTCGTTTTACGCCGCATTTAGCAATATTCCAGCAATATCACGGCGGCTGATGGGTAAGATGAAAGGTCATACTGATATGACTGCTGATGGGATGTCCTCAGATCTTGTTTTGTGTCAGAGAGAACTAAGGTCTATTTTAATGAGATTGCAATGAGTCCTCGCATAGTTTCTTTTGTAGTTCAACAATCAACTTGTCAACTTGTGACTCAGGGAAGGTGAAAAGCGCTGGTGGAAAGTTCAAAACAGAAGAATTCATACCAGACCCTAAACATATTTTTGAAGCCGTTCTTACAATGATAAATAACCGACAGATGACTTCTCGCCCGTCTTACGAAACCTCTGCAACTCAGTCAAAAACACGAACTGTGACGCATTTGGTCTTACTCAGATTTTAACAGGTCATTCAGCTGCAGCATTTATGAAATTGAAAACATTAGGGAGGGGATGACAGATAGTCGACAAACGAATGTAGATTCTAAGTCAATAATGACACGTACGGAATAACAAACCTGAAACTCGGGATATGAAGATTCACATCACGACATCAAATTCAAAATGTCCAAAACTAGAATTCACTCCAGCTCAAGCGTTCGACAACATATCAGACCAGACCGAAACGATACTGAAAATGGTATACTTACCAATGATTGTATGCACAGTAGCACATATTTCTTAAACCCAAACAAGGATCATATTCGTCATTATGTCTTGTGATCCACCAAACAACAGGTCATGACCCGAATACAAAGCCAGCACTTTTAGGTCATATGACATTTTAGTAAATCAGGTGTTTACAACTGAGTCGAACTAACCATAAATATTAATTATAAAATCTTTTAATGTGTCAAATAGTTGAAATATTGTCAACAACATTGCCGTTTTTCAAAATAATGTTAAGAATAATACAAAACTGGCTTATGTTTCTAGCTTTGTTAGTAAGCTAGGTTCCGTCTCTAAAAATCGCAGATAGAGCCGGAAACCAGTCCAACCAGTGTACACGGAAGCTGTCTGCTAGGGAAGGGGGCGTGGTCTGCGTAGTAAATGTAGGCCAAAGAGAGTTGTAAGTTTCATAGGAGAAACTTCATGACAGGTAAAGATATCTGTAATTTTATCAAATGTAGACTTCCCTTTATTATGGTGGTCTATCTTATCAGCTGTAAGTTGACTATGATGAATATATTCTGAGTGATCATGCGTTTGATGAGTTGATGTCTTTTTAATGCGATACTGTCACTATCGTCAACATGTCATCCACAAGACCACATTTCTTATCAAGTTGGAACGGATAAGCTTTTCTAAGTGAAGTTGCTGATTCATTCAAACATGAAAATAAACTTTTTATGTGCATGTGTTGTCTTTATTACGCTAACTTCATATGCTTTTCATTGAATCTTGTACGCATCATTGTACCCAATGTGACTTGGTTTATCGAGTTGTTTATGCACAAATAGGTTGGATTGACAATTCATGGAGTAAAATTGCAATAAAACATTGTTAGGAATGCTGTATTCCCAGGTTGTCAAGCAACCTGTGCCAGTAAATTTCCACACTCACTTGCCCGACTGGCGAGTGAATTTTCATGGGGTCATTTTGTAAATATATCACTCTCTCCGACTTGTTAAGTTATAGTACACTTATAAATCATGTATGATTATGCCCTGATAAAAATGCAGCTTAATGATGAAACCCATGTCTACATTCAAATTTCGGGCGAGTGAATTATTTTGTGGGCTAGTAACTTTCAAGCAAAATTTGGAAACTATTTCGCACACTGGACCTATGACATATTTTATCATCTTTCCATACTACATCATACTTCTGATTGCCACATAGGCAAACTATATCTAGGACATGATAATCTGAAATCATATTTTTACTAAGGGCAACATGTTTTATGTCATCTTTCAAAAGCACACTGCATGAGAAGGTTTTGTGTGTTTGTGTATGTGTGTGCATGCATGTGTGTGTGTGAGTGAGAGATTAGATCAAAGGGGCATAACTCTCTATTTGGGTGAAGTTGCTCTTATCTGTAGTCCAGTGCTTTCTGGGTCAAATGCACATGAACTTGAGTTGACCTGAATGAAACTCTGGGTTTTGGTCAGTAGTGAACTCAGCTCTATAAAATGAGTTGTTACAAAGTGGAAAACTAAACAACAATATACTAATTCCAGTAAGATCCAAATGCTTTTACTCATTAAATTCCTGATGGTATTAATTCTTATTTTAGAGTAATAATTAAAACATCATTAATGTTTAGTTTTTTTTGTATATCAGAACCTGTGTTGCCATGGTGATCCTGACGCTGGCCAGTAGTGTCCAGGCTCCGATACAGAGTGTTCTCCGGCCGTCCATGTGGGTGCCAAGAGTCCGCGATCTTCACGTCCACCGAGAGAAGTATTTGCATCTTACACTCCACTCAATGCAACTACAATATATATGCTGATATGTACCCGATGGAATAATCTTTATCATGACTCTGAAATGAGCCTAAAGCTCTGTCCTCAGTTATATAGTGTGTCATGTCACAGTTCTGCAAACCCTCAATTATCCAGTGTGTCATGATATATACCCTGAACCCATTCACCACCTTAGGTTCATTTTCCTCAAGCTGAAAATGCCTGTCCTTCAAACGAAGTTGTTCTAGCGTATTTAAAATAGTGTTCGAAATAGCCACTGGCCCGCTAGTAACAAAGTAGCCATGCTGTGTGACACATGTCCTTAGTGTGTCCATACTCTGTGACACATGTCCTTAGTGTGTCCATACTCTGTGACACATGTCCTTAGTGTGTCCATACTCTGTGACACATGTCCTTAGTGTGTCCATACTCTGTGACACATGTCCTTAGTGTGTCCATACTCTGTGACACATGTCCTTAGTGTGTCCATGCTGTGTGATACTTGTTGTTAGTGTGCCCATACTGTGTGAAACATGTCCATAGATGTGAGTGTGTGAGTGGGTGTTTTTTTGTGTTTCACAATCCATTCTTGTATTGTAGATGGAGAATAGACCAGTCTTCCATGGACTTCGTGGAGACAGTAAAGAAGGGCCTTGCCACCATGATACAGGAGGACCAGCTGGGAACATTCTACGATATACACAAGGTGCCCACACAAGTCAAACCCTGTTAGGGATTTTTGTAGTTGATTTATGGAACAGCCACCCCAAAATACAGAATAAATGGAGAACAATATAAATAATAACTTTGTAATGATATTTTGTCACCACCAGAAAGATATTATACAATTTCCACTCACTCACTCACTCACTCACAGTGTGTCTGAGTTTAATGTGTGCATATTTTCACAACCCTTCTACAATAAATGAAAAGTTCAAATTTTCAAATGCAAAGTTTAAACAATCAGGTTGTAGAAAAACTTAACAATTACAATTGTAATTACTATAAAATAATTGTGATATACTTTTGGGACCCTTTCATTTTCTATGCCATTTATTTCAAGATCATCCCTTAATCTCACAGCCGCATTCCTTAATCTCACAGCCCCGGAGAATAAATTATCATTCCATTAATTGTTCTTTCATGCCTACAGAAACAATCTCTGTGACAGCTTGGTGTTTATTTTGTAAATCTCATCAACATACATCAAAATATAGGAAAGTCTTGAAAACAATGTTTTGATAATTTATTACATGACTCATTTCAGATTGAGAAGGACTTTGTGAGAATATTTGCCTTTACCTGGGCAGAATGGCTGGATATTGTTGAAATCAAACTGACTGACAATCATGCTGAGGTAAGATACCAAAAAATCAACATCACAAAAATATGTTTTGCAGTGCTATTTGAGATGTTGACACACAAGACATCAAATAATCCATGCGACATATCAACATCATATTAGGAAATTTAATTTTGAAGTGACAGAGAGAATCAGGTCCTTGAACATAGTTTCAGAGTCAGTGGTACCCCCCACCCTTGACCCCACCTCATCAATACCAGATCCCACTTTCCCTGGTGTCTGTATCAATGACTGTTGTGATAATCTCCATCTCCATGGTAACATGTATCACGTTAAACTGTTGACAGGAGATGGAGATAATGAGAATTGCATATTAATTTGACTTTTAAATGATTTATATATTTCAGGTTGTGTCATTTTCCAGTGGTTTGTTTCCCCTGTCCATTCCGTTTGCCTGCATATTAAATGTTGTACGTATATCTGTTCAGTTACACATCACCTTGAAAAGTGTGAAAACAAGATGCATCCATTATTTACAGATCTGCTGAGTGTATTTGTAGGGAGTGTGAGTTTTGGTTTTATGCTGCTGTTAGCAATATTCCAGCAATATAAGGATGGGGAACACTAGAAATGGGCTTCACACACTGTACCCATGTGGGGAATTGAACCTGGGTCTTCGGTGTGACGAGCGAACGCTGTAACACTAGGCTAAGGGTCAGATCACTGAAAATTACAAGGGAAGGATTCTGAGGTTGCAATTTATTTCAACTCTGAGAGGAGGAAAATAACAATTTTGTCAACAAGACAACCAACCAGCATGGTCCATAATGTTCTGTGTGTATAACCTCATCCAAGTCACAAAACCTCCCGACCAACAGAAATGGTCACTCAGGTTCTTAAAGCCATTGAGTATTGATGTGATGATCTGTTTTAAATTTGCTTTAAATTTGTTTTAACTGAAATTTTCTGGTACATTTCTCACGTAGTATAAGGGAGACAAAGATGGTCAAGGTGTCCAGGTCACTGACAATTTATCTAATGGAGAGTTGCGTCCATTGTGCATGCCAGAAAACTTGATCGTGGGTTACAATCCAGGTTCTCTCTAATAATGTTTCTAGGTTTATCTGCACCATACCTGTGTTTGTGGGTTTCACAAAATTCGTACTGAAAACTGGAATGCTTAAACCCAACTCTCTCACTCACTAGAATATGTAGATCCGTGTTAGATTTGGTCTTCAGGAACCCATGCTTGTCGTAAGAGGCGACTAATGGGATAGGGTGATCAGACTCCTTGACTTGGTTGACACATGTCATATATCACAACTGCACAGATTGATGCTCATACTGTTGATCACTGGATTGTCAGGTCCAGACCCGATTATTTACAGACCAACGCCATATAGCTGGAGTATTGCCAAGTGCATCGTTGAACAACAACAAAACATTAATATGGATTAGGGATGAATGGGGTTAGCAGTTTGTTTTATAAGAAAAGTCACATCTGATTTTATAGCAATATTAATTATTACTGACACTGTTGATGTTTTCAGGCTCTCTTCTGGTGTCCGTTCTATGGACACAAATTTAACGTCAACAGACTGGAGAAACTACGCACTGCTATGGGAGTCAATCTCAGTGTCCAAGATCAGTGATGACCGACAGTATGGAAGAATACACATTGAAACTAAGCTTTAAGTGGTTATCATCTTACATTGCATTTAGATGGTCATACATTCTACAAATCAATCTTGTGATCTCTTGTGTAAGTCTAAGTAACAATATGGACTTATAATACATGTAGTCTCCAGTTACTGTAAGGGTACATGAGTTAGAGTATACAAGGGGGATAGTTCTGTGGATATGCAATGTGTATATGCATATACATGTATAGTAAACTTGTATATCTATAGAACTATACCCCTTGTTCATCGCACCCACTTCTAAATGCCCCTCAAAGGAGTTTCATCAATATTAAGACCAGGATTCAAAACACAAACTGATTTGCAGATTACTCTCATTTTAAACACTTGTATGTTAGCTTAGGATTCCAAATATATCTAATCTAAAGCCATGGGGATTCCAAGTTGGATTTGGTCCCTAGCAACCAATTCTGGTTGTCAGAGGTGAAGAAAAAGTTTGTCATCCTCTGTGACTCGCTTGAAGGCTTGGTACCTGATGGCTACCATCATTGCTCACAATGTCAATCATGGGATTGTCTGGCCCAGCCTGGTATTTCACAGGCCACCATCATACAGCTGGAATATTCCTAATTGTGACATTACACAGCAACCACAATAACATGCTGGTGGTAACCGGAAACAATGTGGTACCGGTAAATGTTGCTGATTTGGTTGATGCATGCCACTGTATCGCAAATTTATTGCACACATGAAGATCACTCAATTATCTGGCCCAAACATGAATATTTATAGACTGCCATCAAATGGCTGGAATATTGCTGTCTGCGGCTTTAAAAAATGACCACACACATCATTAAATCTATATACATGCTTGATATTATATTTGCATTACTTCAGCCTTGTCTGTGTTTAAAAGCTGATAGTCAGGATTCTGTATCTATTTGCAGTTCCCCTTTATATAATCCAAGGCTGTGAAACATTGTAGGATTATAAATTACCTAATTTTAACATGATATTTTCGTTGTGTTTCCGGGAGAGTCTTGTAATCCAAGGTGCTGTAATGTTGTAGAACTATATCTTACCTAATATCTAAATCATATTCTTGTACTGATTTTGACTCGATATTTGTGTTCAAAATACAGTCAATATTCTTCAGTTGTCAGGAAAGCCTTGTCCTCGGTCTGTCCAGTGCTTGCCAAATGCAATAGTATTATGTTTACTTGATTTTACAGTATTATATTACAGATGTTTACTATGTGAATTTATATGATGACTGTGCTGATATATGTAAATTGAATGTATGTTTTGTCCCTTAAAACGTGTGACGGCAATATTTTCTGTATTGATCCAGTAAATTTTTCCGAATGGCAATTTTGTTTAATTATTCATACCTATATGATCTTGAGCTTCCCTCACTCACTACAAACTTGGAATTGCTGAAACCATACATAACGTTTGCATCAACAGGGTACGATATGATATTCCAGCAATATCAGGGCAGGGGACACCAGAAAGGGCTTCACACACTGTACCCATGTGGGGAATGGAACCAGGGTCTTCGACTTTATGAGCAAGCGCTTTAACCCTTAGAAACCCCACAGCCTCCTTTCCAGTTCAGAAAATGGTTAAACTGTTTCATTAGTGGGACACCAGAAACAGGCTTCACAATCATGTGAGGAATCAGAGACTCTATTATATGGTCTCTGGAGGAATCAAACTGGCCCTAATGCTTTAACCACTAGGCTACCCCACCCACCATCCATTGCTAACAGAGAATGCTTCTTGATAAGGATATTATAAAATTGTATTTTTTAATGATAATAAAACTGACTGATGTACCAGAATAAAAGTGATGTGTTGAGGCCTGAACAACAATTTAGTACAGACCATGTTGCTTTAATGTAAATTTGGTTCTGTAAATGTAGAAAACAAATTTATTCATTATTCTAAGATGCCTAGCGGTTAGAACAATCGAAAAAACCCACATTATCAGACAATAAAGGTACAGTTTTTTGATGACGTAACAATTGAATGACGTTTTCCCGGCACTGCGCCATTCTAGTGTGCCCCCTCGTAATCGAATTATTTTACATTACGTCACAATGTAAGCGACGTCACGATGCATGTCAGTTGTCATCGCCTCGTACGGCCTCCTACAGTAAACTACTCCGTTGCATCCCGTTTGTTGGTTTGCAGTTGCTTCACGCAGCTAACATCACTGGGGAAACATTACGTTTATGTTTTACGACGGTTAAAATGTGTCAATTCGACTCACAAGTTTTCAGCGACAAGGTAACGTTCGCAATGTTTACATTCCCATAATGCAATTCGTGGAATGTCGCTTGACTACTCAGCTTCATCTGGATGAACTGATCTAAACTTATGTTGGTAGTAGAAATGCGACATTCATATTGCCCCATATGGTTTACGTTAATGACAGATGTAATTAAAATAATTCAGAGAAGATATTTAACCCGAACGTAAACCGTCATCAAACTGTTATCATTTGTTTTTTTCTGGTAACGTTCGTCTTTACCGTGTGTGTGTGTGTGTGTGTGTGTGTGTGTGTGTGTGTGTGTGTGTGTGTGTGTGTGTGTGTGTGTGTGTGTGTGTGTGTGTGTGTGTGTGTGTGTGTGTGTGTGTGTGTGTGTGTGTGTGTGTGTGTGAGTGTGAGTGAGACATATCAATAGTACAGCGCGCCAGTTAGCCCTGTGCGAGCATTCTTAATTTAGGTCACCGACACCGTCGTTTGTTTTCTGCATTAAATTAATCGTAATTATCCTTAGAAAGTATTAAATTTAGCATCTTAGAAAAGATGTAAAGTTCGCTCTACACCAATGTGTTTTGTAATAAAGTATAGTTTTGCCCTGACCTATTACCGAGTGCTTTGATGTTATAATGGTTCAGGGCAAAACTATACTTTATTACAAAACACATTGGGGTAGAGCGAACTTTATTTCCTAATCAGATAAATGAACATTGAAGAAATGATTTACCAAGATATGGAACGACGACAAAATCTTTTCATCATGAAGGGAATGGTGATTAGCATAAATAGTAAGCTATAAATGATTCTGGAACCAACAAGACCATATCCCGAAGTTCCTGAAACAATGTCAATTTCTCACGTTTGGGATATGTTTTATTTATTTCCACAAAAAGGGATTAGTGAAAAGGCTTACCAAATATACCAGGAAAACTACCTCCCATCTTCTTAAAAATCCCAGGGAGACTGCCTCCAGTCTACCCAAATATACTCTCCAAAATATGAAACGCATAGGTGTATTGTCACGAATTGTAATCTGCTAACGTTAAAGTGAGATAATACATGTACTTCTTGATCAGTTGTTAACATGAAGAGCTTATAAAAGGTTCAATAAGTGAAGGCGTCCGTCCCCAGGTATTGTCTTCAATATCTCCAAAACTGTCTCGGGATATAATGAATAAGTCTTAGAATTCGACCATGTGGAATTCTGGCCCACTCCTCTTGCAATGCCTGCGACAGTTGTCCTAACGTCTGGATGGACGTTCACGTACGCGTCGGTGGAGGTCCTCCCGCAAACGCTGGATGGGGTTGAGGCCATGGTAGCAGTAATGTAATGTAATCGTACTGTAATGTTGTCATTCTGAAGACACTAAATAGTGACGTGCAGTTTGAGGCCTGGCATTCTCTTGCTGGAACATCTCGTTCTGGCGCTGCATAGGTAATCTGAGGTCTAGCATTTTATGGCCGATCTTGCGAAGAATTGTAAACCAAAAGTCACTGTGTTCTTTCATCTGATTGGTTGAAAAACGTGATCAAATGGTATTTGATTCCCGGAAATTCTCTGCGTATTAATACATACAAACATCGCTCACACCATTGTATTGTTACGTCGTCAGCTGTGATGACGTCATTAAAATCATATTGTGACGTAAAGTCCGAATGACGTCACAAATGAGCAGTTCCAGATGCTACCATGGGAGACAGCCGAAACGGCCGGCTGATGACATTTCACTGCTTTACCCGTACTCTATGTCAATGAGTGCAGACACAAAAACATGTGTGGACCTTTTGGTTTACTTTTGTGTTTACAATGTCGATAAACATCATGTGTTGGCGAATTTCCGGGTGTTATTGAGTATTTGAAGCACGGGAATATTTCATTTGAAACCTCCGGCTGACGCCGTCGGTTCCAAATGAATTCCCGTGCTTCAAATACTCAATAACACCCGGAAATTGGCCAACACATGATGTTTATCTCCTAATTGGTTTGTTGATATCGGTTCCATAAACGACTGATGGTACTCTGGTGGATACTGAGATGACATACAACGGCAGATTGAGACTCCCCCAGCCTCCTGACGTCCAATGGCCATGTTTCGATTTAACGATATTCTTTCATTTAGCTGAAAAATGCCAATGACCGTCTATAAGCAAAACGGCCTTATTTGGGCATTGTCCCTGCTCATGATTCTCCAGAGCTGCACGTGCATATTGCCAGCAACTTTTCCTACATGGCATGTTCAATGAAGTTGACACTTTCAAACGTAAACGTAAACGTTTCCGAAGATCCGTTTCTGCGCTGTGCATTAGTTCCACGTACTCAAAGCAGCATCATACTGGAGAAATTATAACAATCAAATACTAATTTTGAAAACATATTTGAAATGTCATATATCAATATCACCCACTCGCTTCTTTTTTGAGTATTTAGCACCAAGACAACCTAAAATATACCTAAAATATACCAGAGAGACTGCCTCAAATCTACTTAAAATATACCAGGGAGACTGCCTCAAATCTACCTAAAATGTACATGGGAGACTGCCTCAAATCTACCTAAAATATACCAGGGATACTGCCTCAAATCTACTTAAAATATACCAGAGAGACTGCCTCAAATCTACTTAAAATATACCTGGGAGACTGCCTCAAATCAACTTAAAATATACATGGGAGACTGCCTCAAATCTACCTAAAATGTACCAGGGAGACTGCCTCAAATCTACTTAAAATATACCAGGGAGACTGCCTCAAATCTATCTAAAATGTACCAGGGAGACTGCCTCAAATCTACCTAAAATATACCAGAGAGACCGCCTCAAATCTACTAAAAATATACACCTGGGAGACTGCCTCAAATCTACCTAAAATATACCAGAGAGACTGCCTCAAATCTACTTAAAATATACCTGGGAGACTGCCTCAAATCTACCTAAAATGTACCAGGGAGACTGCCTCAAATCTACCTAAAACATACCAGGGAGCCGGCCTCATATCGACCTAAAATATACCAGAGAGACTGCCTCAAATCTACCTAAAATATACCAGAGAGACTGCCTCAAATGTATGTAAAATATACCAGAGAGACTGCCTCAAATCTACTTAAAATATACCTGGGAGACTGCCTCAAATCTACTTAAAATATACCAGGGAGACTGCCTCAAATCTACCTAAAATGTACCAGGGAGACTGCCTCAAATCTACCTAAAATATACCAGAGAGACCGCCTCAAATCTGCTAAAAATATACCTGGGAGACTGCCTCAAATCTACCTAAAATATACCAGAGAGACTGCCTCAAATCTACTTAAAATATACCTGGGAGACTGCCTCAAATCTACCTAAAATGTACCAGGGAGACTGCCTCAAATCTACCTAAAACATACCAGGGAGCCGGCCTCATATCGACCTAAAATATACCAGAGAGACTGCCTCAAATCTACCTAAAATATACCAGAGAGACTGCCTCAAATGTATGTAAAATATACCAGAAAGACTGCCTCCAGTCTACCTAAAATATACCAGATAGACTGCCTCCAGTCTAGCTAAAACATACCAGGGAGACTGTCTCAATTCTACCTAATATATACCAGGGAGGTTGCCTCAAGTCTACCTAAAACAAAGCCTCCAATCCACATATAACATAGCCTCGTTCACCGAAATATTGCTGTCCAGCCGATCTCATCGACATGTTGCAACAATAATGTCTGGGCCAACAAACAAAGCATGAAAGTGTTGCCGCTCCTCGACCTGATCTTACAAAGGTCGACTCCCAGTGTACTGTGCCTAAAATGATTTAAAGCCACTCGTCCTAGACGTTCGCCTGAGAGTGAGGTCGAGTATATAGGTGACAGAAGAATCGTGACTGTCTGTACCCAGGGCTACATGTGTGAAAAATACCTGTTTCTTTAAGACGTTTTGAGTTGTAGTGAGAAATATTCCAGCTATATGACACTGTTGACAGTGAATTGTTCACAATCGTGTGACCAGACAGTCCCGTGACTGACAGTATAAGCAACGACCCGCCCCATCGGGTTAGGATGACAAGCAGTCAACAATGTCTCCGAAGCTGATCAAAGTCTTCTTTCCCTTTTCTGCTTCGACTGATTAATGCAACGTTGAGGTCCTATGTGTTCTATTTAATTTATTCCACCAAACAATTATTTTTAGACCTCATTTAGGTGAGGTGAGGTGAGGTGAGGTGAGGTGAAATTGGGTTTTACGTCGTGCTTGAGAATATTTCGCTCATATGACGACGTGCATGCGTGTGTATGTGTATGTGCGGCTGCTTGTACTAGCCCAGACTGAAGCTGGTTTTATAGTGCTAGCCCACTGAGATACCATGCCGCAGTGAAGCATGAATACCCCACTCAGAGACACATTATACTGACTCCGAGCCGACCAGTCCTTGTTGTACCCATTAATGCCAAGCGCCAGGCAGGGACCAACAAGTACCATATTTTAACGTCTTTTGGTATGACGCGGTCGAGGATCGAACCCGCGACCTTCCGCTCTCCGGGCGGACGCTCTAACCACTACACCACGGAGGCGGTCTCATTTAGGAATATTCCAGCAATATTATGGCTAGGGGACACCAGAAATGGGCTTCACATATTGTACCCATGTTGGAATCGAACCTGGGTCTTTGGTATAAACCACTAGGCTATTCCACCGCCTCTGCTGGTTTAAAGGTCGTTGGGCATCATGGTCAGCACATTCAATTTCTATTATCCTACTCTTAATTCTGCGTTAACGCTTGTAAACTAACTGATCACCTGAAAAGTGGAATGAAGTTCACACCTACACAAGCTTGTCAATACATTGCTCGGTGGGCAAATTACTTTCATTGTTCTCATCATGTATATAGTCAGTGATTCCTCTAAACGACCGTTATTCTTTGCTCAGCTAACCCTTATGTTTAGTTCAAATAACTGAAAGTTACGTATGCTTTGTTTTTTACACCACACCCACAACATTACATCACTCGTAACTACTCGTGTTATTCCGGCAAGCCGAATGGTAGTCACGAAAAGAGGCGAGTACTTACGAATGAATATTACATCTATACGAGCAAGTGAGTAAATGTGGCTTTAAGTCGCATCAGGAATGTTGCAGCTCTTCGTGGCTAGAAAATCAAATATTTTCCTATGGAAACGGATATAGAATAATAGTAATGATGAAGATCACTTAACCTTCAGTATACTATCACGATAAGCAGTACAAAATACATTCAACTATTTAAATCTACATCTTTTACAGTTTGATTTCTTTCAGTTACGCTCAAAATAAATTACTACAAACGGTACTGAAAAGGTAAGAAAAACTTTAAACAGCAAACAGAATGAGCGAAAAATCCACACATTCCAACAAAGGTGCTTGACAGTCAATGGAATACATTGAGGGGGGTATCTCCCTTCAATATGAATTGTGAGTGTAATGACTGTGTCAAGAGCGACACCTCCGGATCACAACTTCATCTTGACACCTTAACTGGTAAGGGCATGATACCCTAACAAGCGTTGCATGGCATCAAGCCTATTAGATATGTTTCTGACGTATTGTCAAATAGCAGGTTTTAGGTCAGTTGAAAAAGTACTGCTCGACATCGACTTGTCAAAAGCAGATTTAGCTACAGAATCTGCCCTCAATTCGCCCTAATGCTGACTGGGTAGGCAACAAAACGGGATCGTGACAGATTCAAACGACATTTCCAAATGTAAACGCCACCATCGTCCTCAGACACTTGAAGAAGGTGCCAACGCGTTGCGGGAGAAATGGCAGAGAATTTCCCATGCAAGAAAAATTCCGACGACTTGTGCAATCTCTTCCAAGGCGGTGTCGAGCAGTGACGGTTGCAAGGGGTGGAGTCACCAGGTACTGATCTGAACGCCCCCTTATGTCCTCACGTGTGCAATGAGTGAACTGAATCAATGCTTACAATGACAACAAACCTTCGCCATTCCTTCTGCAACGCGTTGGCACGTTCTTCAAGTTCGTCCCAAAGATGCTCGATCGGGTTCAGATCAGACGGTTTGGTAGGCCAGGGAAGGACATTAACATTTGCATTGGCGACACGAGCTGTGTGGGGTCGAGCGTTGTCGTGTTGAAACAGCTCCCTCTGGCGGTAAAGAAGTGGGAGGAGGTGAGGTCGCAGGATTTGGTGGAGGTAGCGAATTGCTGTAAGAGTGCATTGAACCACCAGTAGCTTTGATCTACCCGTGTAGGACATGGCTTCCCACACCATGACGCTTCTCCACCAAATCCGTCCACCTGTCGAACGCAGTTCGGCGCAAAACGTTTGTGCTGGCGTCGATAGAGAGATTGTTTTCCATCTGGTCATTGCAGGAGGAAACGCGATTCATCGCGGAACCAAACATGTCCCACGAGTTCTCCAGGTTCCATGCCTGTACCATGTTGTACCATTGGACGTGGTGCAGTAGTGGTGTCAGGATAGGTCCAACGTTTGGTCGATATGCTCGAATCGGAAATTCTTCGACGACCAGCCACCCGTCCTGCAGTGTCCGTTGCTGTCGCAAAGCGGTGACGTAGGTGAAACACCCGGATGAATCGGTCCTGAGCAGGAACGGTCAATGTTGGTCTTCCACTTCTGGGAAGATCTTGAAGCGGGTATATCGATGCCATAATCGAGCTATAATGCTGTGTTGGACGCTGAAGTGTCTTGCAACGGCAAACTGTAGGACTCCCTTGCTTCCCTTTTTTCTTCGTTTACGTCGTAAATTTCGTAATGAAAGGATGAATTTGGTTTGGCCTTTTATAACGGATGTCTCTACTCATGTTCCGACACATTGCACGTGCATTACGTGGAAAACGTTTCCTGCACATGTATTGTTTTAATTTTTTATGGAAAACGTTTAAAAACACATTTTGGGATGCGTTTGCGCGCAGAGTGCAATACTCAACAACGATGACATGATTAACGGGATTCAAACATAAGAATTGTCTCATTGACGATTGCTGCCAAAATGTATCGAACTGAACTGCATGCTGAAAACGGCTGTGTGTTTCTTTTCTTTTTGGAAAAGTGTATACAGGTAGTTTCCTGGCTTTCACTCACCAGATGATTTGTTTGTATGTTGTTTACCACTGCACTACACGGCGGCGGTCTGTAAATATTCGAGTCTGGACCAGACAATCCAGTGATCAACAGTATGAACATTGTTCTACTCAACTGGGATACGATGACCTGTGCCAACCAAGTCAGCGAGTCTGACCACCCGATCCCGTTAGTCGCCTCTTACAATAAACATGGGTTGTCGAAGACCAATTCTAACCCGGATCTTCACGGATCTTCACCTGGGGACAAGGTGGAGTTCTGCATAAATGACAATCAGTGCTGGATAGCCTAGAGTTCGATAGGCACACAGGTTCGATACCCCACATTGGTACCATGTGTGAAGCCGATTTCTGGTGTGCCACGCCATGATATTGCAGGAATATTGCTAAAAGCTCATAAATGACCTCACTTTGCTGATATTGCTTCATAATTCCTTTAAAAGGCATGCTTGGATCCGTACACACATCTGAGTTGTTGAGATGAGGAAGATGAACCTCAGCTTGTTTCTTATGATGACGGGGAACACCGGTGGTCCAGCCGTTCACTGTACATAGTCGCATCCCTTGATTCGTCTAGATTATAATGACATATTTTGTTAACAAAATTAGAATTTTATTTGGGCGCATCAATATTCAAAATGTCACCAAGTGTTCAAAATCTCAATGTAAACAAACGCGAAACTGAGGGTTGAAAAATCGCACGGTGATCGCTATAGAGGGCAGTTAGGCACAACAATAGACGACACGTCTCACTGTGTCCGACCACGTTGCTGGAAACGACAACAAACATGATGTTCTCTGTATCCATTAATACAAACACATGTATATATCTTACAATGTAATCAACACGATACATCTGATTATTCTTACATATTTTTTACTTGATCTTTGCTTTGTAATTCCATTGAGCTTATCCACACCTTTAATTGATGTATTTTTGTTTTTTGTTTTTATTTCAAAGAAAAGGACTGTGTCCAACCTACGTAATTGTCTTAGTTGTCAAGATGTCATAGATCTGTCTTTTTTTCCCGATACCGTTTTGACGCTGAAATGTCGCCTTGCATCCGGCTTGTTTTTTTTAATTGTCCAGGAATTGAAGTTTAAATGGTTTTGATATTTGTCTTAAATATTATTCGGTATTCAGAGGTGAGCGACTTGATTCAGAATGAAAATTTCGATGTTATTCGCAAACGTAGAAGAGTGATGGAGGGATTTGCAACCTCATTCATATAAAATGTACAGAAAAGAATCGGTGCAAGACCATTAAAAAATCACATGCCCGATGTTTATTTAATGTTCGTTGATTTTTAACAAATTAATTTTACATGTTCATTGATTGAATTTACAAATAACATGTAAAAAGGGTAAAAGAACATTTTTCGGCAGATTATCACAAATTTGGACCCGTAAGCCTTTTTCCCGCCATGTGAAATAACATCGACCTTCACCTTAGTCACTTCCGCTTTAGAAAATAATATGGGATTTGCGCATGCGTAAAACTAAAATTTCCCGGATGTACACATGCGCAAAGGCAATGTCGGACATTTTGCGCCAACTTTCTGGGTTTGTCAGATACTGCAACTACTAAAACTGTTATATTTTATAACAGTGGGTGTAAATTAACTCGCAAGTGGCTAAAATGCAAAACACAGTGAAATTCTAATTGAGTGATGTAAAGGAACTGGTCCTATCAGCCCCAGTTCAAGTGCAAGATTGCTCTGAAGTGGGTGATCCGGTCGAAGGTGATGTAGTCGAGAATAGAGAATGGAGTTCGACTTGTGACAGCAGTATTTTGAAGAATTATATCTGACGTGCATGGGCTAATCTACATACAAATCAGGATGGCTACTGTTGAATATGATTTGGATACGTCTGGCGGACTGATGGAGGTAAGTAAAGTATGTCATTTCTAAACATATATGAGTGAATTTGATGAAAATAACTGCTCGGGAAACGAAAAAGAATTTTCTTCGTATTTGACATACACCAACTTGCTGCTTTTCTCAAATTATGCCTGATACCATGTGGTTCATAATATGTTTTCCTTTTCGCAGCAAATCCAGAAGCTTGTTGCACCACCTGTCAGTGAAGAGTATGCGAGACGAATGAGAAGACGAGACCGTGAACATCGAAGACACGGTCGTTCTGTCAACCATGACTGTTGTGACAGCTGCAAGGAAGGTGGCGATCTTCTCTGCTGTGATCGTTGTCCAGCAGCTTTTCATTTGCAATGCCAGTGAGTAGTTTAATCAGTAGTTTAAACGTTCGAATGACTGACGAAGATGTTTCACTTCGGACAATGTTTTCTATGGATCACGAAAGCTTTCTTCAGTTTTCTCCTCAAGAAATCCAAGATGGCTGACTTTGTTTGCCAGCACATTTTTACAAGGGCGCCATTGTGAAATGCAACGTACTGTCAGGGTTTATGACTGTCTTCTTGTTATGACCAAAGAAGGATGTAATAAAGATAGCCTTAACTCAGTTTTAAAGCCATAATTATGCCCCAGTGTTGTCTCAATGCAGTGTTTCTTATATTTTGCAAGGAGGCTGTTATTGTAGATGCTATCTGTCAGTATAAAGGTATTGTTGCTGGTGTACTCTCTCTCTGACATGTCTATGATGGATGCATTTTTTAGAAGAGCAGCACCTTGTTTTAAACTTGGAGGTGATGTAGTTGTCAGTGTTGTTGAACTTATAATCAAATTTGTGATGGAATGAGATATGTCATTTGGTGTCTTGCTTATTATTTAGTAACTCAAGTAATACAGCAGAAAGAAAACGGTTTAATCAGAATTTAGGGTCAGTGCTCAGTTTCAACATCCATATTTGAAAGTGATTTGGTTCCTCATCATAAAATTGTCTGGAGTCTCTGAAATAACTTTTTTTTAAATCTTTAAGTGATCCGCCATTAGAGGAAGATGATCTGCCTCCAGGGGAATGGATATGTCATAGGTGCCGGATCGCTGACAACCAGGTTTGTGTACATACACCCAGCTCATCTGTAGTTTTCAAAACCAGAAAAAAACAGGATTGTCTCCTCCTGGTCACTTGGTAATTTTAGACTCTGTACACACAGACATGTCTTTTTTTCCCAATGGAAATGTTTTGGTTTTTTATTTTGAGGAGCAAATGTTTACTGTGCATCAGTGACTGTATTTGCACTTCTGTTAAAATCTACCTTAAGTTATTAGCATGCATATCATAAATTTCTGAACTTTTCATAGTGATGGTGTTTACATGTTTTTCCTGACAAGCCATTAAAGTAAACTAAATAGTTGTAAGTATTAGCATATTTTTTTAATTGCAGATATCATTTCTGATCGTATATGCAAATATACATGTTTTGTGGTATCTTCTATTAATATTGTAGAGCAAGGAGGATCCAGTTCCAAGTACATCTACTGGATCAAGAGGTCGTCCAAAGAGGCAACATTCTCAAGAAGATGAAAAAGATGTGCCAGAACACCCCCTTCAGACCCTTGCAAAAGCTGCTCGTCTCATGAACCCCATTCAGTTTGATCTGACAAAGGATATTGCATGCACTATTCCACTTCCAGGTAATTTCATCTTTATTTACATACATAATAAATCTTGCAATACTTTGATCATGTAAACACATCTTGCAATGTGACAGTGTTCTAGAGAATATATACACGTAATATTGTTTTATTCTGAAAAAACTCCTGTGATAAGACAACAATACCTATATGTATTCTCTCACTGAAAATTAACTGAAGTTTGTTTATGTTTTGATAATTTTTTGTAGGATCAAGCAAAAGAAGAATTGGGAGTCGAGGACCCAGTCGAAAAGCTCCTCATGAACTGGACAATGGCATGGTGCCACTACCAGCTAAAGTTTGCTTCCAGTGCAGCAGGTGTGTGAATCTGGACTGTTGTTTTTGTGTTCTTGGACATCTTAAAGCCGTTTATCTAAACTTCCTGCAATTCATTACTGATGTTGGTTATTGACCATTTTTATGAGGAATTATAGTGTATTTATTTGTCAGTCCTAAGTACAATCAGAAATAATTTGTAGGGGTTCCCAGCCATATTTATTGAAACCACTATGGCTCGCTTGATTTTTCTGTAATTTTTACAGATCTGTATTTCCCATTATTTTTGATAATCTTTGTGAGTATTTTAAAGGAGTGTTGGTGATAGTGTGAACTTTGATTCTATCAGACCTAAACTGTCAATTTTATTTAACCTGTCAAGTTGAGTGTAACGGGATATGTAGCTTAAAAATGAAAGTGTTTATGTGTTTCAGGAGTTGTCGGGTGGCCCCCCTGATCCAGTGTGACTATTGCCCACTACTGTTCCACCTGGACTGTCTTGCCCCACCTCTTACCAGCTTCCCCACAGGCAGGTGGATGTGCCCCAACCATGTGGAGCAGAGTGTGGTGAGTTGCGGTACTCTGTACTTAAACCAATACAGGGATGAGGGTAGCCTAGTGATTAAAGTGTTTGCTCGTCATGCAGAAGGACTGAATTAGATTCCCCACATGGGTACAATGAGTGAAGCCCATCTCTGGTTTTGCTTTGATATTGCTGGAATATTGCTAAAAGTGGCATAAGGCCCAATTCAAACACTACCACCAATACAGTGTTGAGATCAAGAACCCCTTTAGTGATTACATTAGTAGTAACTTCCAAAAAGCATGGGGTGGTGGGAGTAGCCTAGTGGTTAAAGCGTTCGCTCGTCACGTCGAAGACCCGGCTTCGATTCCCCACATGGGTACAATGTGTGAAGCACATATGTGGTGTCCCCCGTCATGATATTGCTTGAACATTGCTGAAATCGGTGTACAACTAAACTCCAAAAACTCACTCCAAAAAGAATGAAATTGTACCAGGTGAAAGGATAATCAGTTCTAGTTTCCTCCACTTCCTAGTAACAGTTGATTGTATGTTCAAATCCCAGATTCTTCCTGATCACATGTTTTGGTTTGTTGGCACAAGGTAATAAAAATCAAAGACCTGTCTCCCACTACGTCTACTTCCTTATCAAACATGCACACTGTACATATGACAATTATACTGTTCAGAACGACATAAAACCAAACATATACGCTTTGGGGCATTCTCGACGTGCAAGAAGTTCCTCATTCCTGTGTTTGTGCAAGTACTGCTGTGCAATGATGGGAACTGGTTGTTTCAGGATGAGTACCTGTTGAAGTCTCTGAGTCTGTGTGAGAGGGTGAAGCTGTGGGACCGGTCAGCAGGTCATGTGGACCAGCATGCAGTCAAGGTCAACTTCCTACACAAAGCGCATCGCCAGAATCCTCCCTTCAGGTTCAAGAGAAGACTCCCATCAAGGAAGACTATTACTGTAAGTTTATTCGCAGGATGGCAGTGTGTGAAATGATTGTAGTAGTATGTAGGAATATACACCCTGATTGTGTGGTTCATGGTATGCATAACATCAACAGTGTTATAAATAAAACATTAAGTATTTGTCAGAAAACTTTTGCTGTTGATCTTAAAACTCGCTGTGCTGATAGTTGGGATTGAGACATCTTTAGGCTAGAGTTACTCAACTCTAGTTTTAGTAGGAAATGGAGGGAATTTGTTGAGTACGACAGTTTCAGCAGTAAGACAGGCAAATAAAAAAATATGGCTTGTCGTGGACATAAATTCAACAAAAACAGGGTCACTGTTGACAATGACAAGTCGTGACATGTTCCAATATTCATCACTTATGTTGAAAGAAAATAATCTATACTTATTTATTTCTACTACATTTTGTTGTGATTCCTTGAACTTAGTTGAATGTTATTGCAACAATTGACAACAGTCACGAAACTTGCAGATCATGAGATGTGTGGGCTATGAAACTGCAACAATATCACATTAGTAACGAGCCACAAACGACCTGAATTATTTGCTAAGAATGTTAGTTGTTAGTAGAGTGAAATTACAATCAAATGTGTATTGGCTTTACTTTGGTAAGGTTACACTGCAAGGTGATTGCATGATTCTCTCTGCTTTACAGCATGAAGGTGAAAACATCAGGGGTAAGTTTCCCCAGTATTGGATTTGTGGTCAGGTTATCTCCCTTGGATAACACTGCCTTATCAATAACTCTGCTTGTTTACAGATACCGCAAGCAATAAAAGATCACTACAACAATCCTCCCCCATTACTTCCAAGGGCAGCTACAGCAACACTTGGCAGTGTGGAAACGTCCAGCCAGGCTGCATCATCATCAGAGGCAACACTTGAAGAACAAGAGGAGGTGACATTGCTCTACTGCACCTTGCTATAGTATTCTACCACTTTGCTCTTATTTACTGTCTAATGCTGGATCACTGGCAAACAATATTAGGCAAAGGGGTGATCAGGACATGCATAGAAACATTTGTAGACATGTGCAGTCTTGGTGTTATTTAGTATTTGAAGTATTTTTTATTTTTTTTTGGGGTCTAGTTAACAGGCTTTTAAAAATAAAAAATAGATTCTGACATCAGTGTCATAACTGATCATGATAATTTTCACCATTTTCATTTTTTTTGTCTTGTGCCCAGTGGAAACTTTTGGAACATGGTTGAGACTGGGTATTCAGTGGAAAGAATGTTATTTTTTCTGGCATCAGTAAAATGTTTTTGTTTGGATTTATTTCAGTGGCTGACAGCTGTTGTGTCTCTTCAAACAAGCATTGCCAAATTCCTGGCTCAGAAACAATTACAAAAATCATCTGATAGTGCTAAATCAGACTCTGGTCGCTGTGAACACGGTAAGCCCACAGCGTCGGTGGCTCCGGTGATACATCGAGATACAGACAATGCTCATTGTAGTCTGGCAGCTGGAGATGCCCAACCCTCACATACATTCAAGGATAGCAACGACTGTGATAGGACTAATAGCTTGAATGGATCTGGCTTGACCAGTCCACAGGAGACATTACCCAACGGCCCATTCGAGATCGGTAAGGGAGCAGCAATATCCCTCCTCCATGGAGGCACTGCAACAACCAGCAGTAGCGCCATGAATGGTGAGATGGAGTACGCAGATGTTCAGAAAACGAAGCCTGATGCTGTTGTGATACGGACAAGAAGTAATAGTGCTGACTCAGCTTCTCCCAATGTGGTCAAGGTCACATGGCCCTGTGGTGAAAAACAGGTTTCTGGTGGAGTGACAAATACACAAGGGAAAAATATCTTAATCAGTGCTATTAATAAAGTGACAAAAGTGTTGCCCAATTCCAGTCAGGTGGGAAAGGTTGTGCTACCAGCAAATATGGCAGCCAAGAATGTGAGTGGCAGTAACCCTACCTCAATTCTCTCCCCACGGGTCACAATGCAGCCAGCTGTGAAGATTGCCACCCCTGGGGGTAAACCCTCATCAACTGGCTCAGGTTCTACATCCACTCCTAAAGTCATCACAGTATCTGCTTCTCCTTCAGGTAGGACGAAAATCTGGGGTTGTTGTAGAGTGCACTTTCTTTCATCTAGTATCCTCACACTTTTAGTTGTGTAAGAATGTCAATGTGATTCCTAAGAACATAGGTCCAGTGCTCCACGGCAGTGGAGTAGCCAAGTGGTTAAAGCATTCACTCGTCACGACAATGACCCTGGATTGATTCCCCACATGGGTACCATGTGTGAAGCCCATTTTTGTGGCCCACCTGTGATGTTGCTGAAATATTGCTGAAAGCGGCGTAAAACCAAACTCACTCACATCCATGCTTCAGTTTTGGTCTGGTCAGTATGTATCTTTGGTTGGGGCAAAGATGTTAATTACATTAATCACTAAAACATTAAGTTCTATGATAAATCAATGTAATCACATTTAAGTGGTTATCGAATTACAGGAAATTAAATGATAATGTTTGGGGATAACATTTATGGCATGATAAACAAATCTTGTGTACGGAAACAATTTTGAATGTAATGCACTGTTGCGATTTATGTAGCTAGGGCTTTTAAAACTAATATAGTAAATTGATAGAAATTAGTGGTGGTCCGATTAATTGAAATAATCGAAGATTGGTCGCAGTGCCTAAACGACCAAGCAATCGATTGTGCTTTCTCATAATCGAACACAACCAATTTTGGAACACGTGTTTGCATCAACAATATTTTACACAGGGTTGGTTTTGTCTGTGTCATTATATTTACATTTCACAAGCACTACAAGCTCGTTCCAAGTGATGATTGAATTTATCTTTAAAAATCCAGGAAATCTGTGTTCCTTACATACTAATCATCCTTTAAATGTGCGATATTTGCCAATGGATTTTGTGCAATTTGCAAAAAACCCAAATGCAACATGTTTTTTCTTTCTTTTTTGTGTGTGTGCATTAACAAAGATAGCAGGAACATTTAATAAATGACGCTAACCAATTATTTTCGTTTATTGATCAGTTGTAATGGACCAATCATCAATTATGAGATTTTAACCAATTCCCAACACTAATAGAAATTACAAACCAAGATCTCGTAAAAAAATTAATTATTCCACCATTATTTTCTGCAATGAGATGAAACACTATCATACTTGACAATAAAAGAAATAATCACATGTTTAGGAAATCGGCAGATTTGTTGTTTCCGTTTTGCATTCAAAGTCAATCAATGAAAATATGTTCAAATGATTTTAGGGTATGCTTTATCATGATTAATGACAATTGAATTCGATTGTTAATTTTCTGTTCATTGATGAAATTAAACTAATCTAGTCTACACTATTCTTCGAAGAGCGTGTGTTTTCTGTAGCCGACTTCGTGAATGCTGAGAGTTACTACCCTTACTTACAATAAAAAATGTATCGTCAGTTGTGATTGGTTCAATTTTAAGCAGAAACTTCTTAACAGCCATTCAAATACTTTGTTACTGAATTAGTTTCTATCTGTAAGTGTTAGGGATACTATATACCGATACAAGTAGAAACGTCATTCTTGATGTGTTTTAACCTTGACTTAAAAAGACACTTCATTTCAATAATTATATATTGGATTTACGGGAACTTTATTATACTAGTATGTATGTGTCCACAGGGATGCACATATAAAATATTCGTGCATCCTTTCGAATTTTCGTGCATAAATTACGCAGGATGTGCAATTCGATTTATCCCTGGGTTGTTATGTTTTTTTGGAATGTAGCCACCCTAGTGTTCTGTTCACATCACAAATGTTTTGTTAACAATTAGCCATGTCTAAATGTGAATGACTATATTTCAACCCTCACTTACAGGAGTGAAATCTTCCGGCAGCAGCAATGTGGCAATATCTCAGGGAAAGGGAAGTAACTCAAGTAATCTGAGCTCACTGCCTACAATCATCAATGTCAACTCTACTCTACAGCAGCTAATAGAAGGAAATCAAGGTAAGATGACAGCCTGATTGGAGGAAGTGGATCAAGTGAAATATAGCCCAGTTGTGCTGAGTGTACTATAATTGCATTCATTGATAACCTGCCCTACTTACAATCCCATCTAGCAATGATACTGAGTATAAAGAGACACATAGCCCGCATACCAACTGATATATGCAATTAATGTATGTCACAGATGTATGGCCTTGTATCCAGTAATAACTAGTGTTGAGAATCGACCTCTAAAACCATAATCGACTATCGATGTCTTCTGTCGATCAATTATCGATAAATGATTGACTGCAAGTATGGATTTATGACCACAAGACCAGCTGGATGAGACGACTGCTACAAGATCGCTTGTAATTAAGATCTGTCATATGACATGAGATTGTAACCCATTCTTCTTAGAAATGGTTTAAAAAACACATTTTTCCTTATCCTGACTCATGCTCTTTAGCTTGTCCCCTTCCTCTTGCGAACATAGTGGAACACTTGTATCTCCTTAATTGAAAATCATGGAGTATTTGACAACAATATGAATTTAGATCACGCTTTTTACAGCTAAACAATATGTCCGTCAACTATTTGTGTGTGAAAATTGAGAAAGGTTGAACTCAAGATCTATGTGTCGACTTCGATAAAGAAATCAGAATAGAAGGGCTATAGATCTAAGAGTAGATGTGACAAATATCGGCCCAAATATCAATAAAGCTATCCATTTCCAACCTTGTTCGTGAATTCGACGAGAAATGAGCCTTTCGCAAATACAAAATGTTTTCTCGAAGCAAACACAAGTGTGGGAGAGCAGGCATTTTGTTGACAGTCTGCTCAGCCAATCAAACTGCTTGTTTCGATCACGTGTTATATTTCTCAGGATTTTTTTGAAGCCACGTTTTCATAACATACTACATTTACGAAACCTTCCTCAATGCTTGCATATTCAAACATGTAATTAAACATGGGTCTGAATAATATATGCATCCACGTTAAAACTGTTTTTACGCTGCAAGCCACTACGTGCACTAGAAGAAAACGACTGCTCCCTCGGCAAGCTATAAATAGACTTGACTTCCTGTATTACGGCTGCGATCGCGAGCCTACCTGGAGGTATTTACAAATCTTGCATGTACACCAATCGTTTGTTGTCCCCCGCCGCAACGCGGAACGGGGGACTGTATTCAGCGGCGTCCGTACGTACGTCCCGATTCTTGTTAACGCAATATCTCATGAACTGTTGAACCCAATGTCTTCAAATTTGGTGACAGCCTACATTGGGTTATTACGCAGACACCAGTCGATTTGGGTGACCCTGACCTTATTTTCAAGGTCACCACGACACTGACCACTTTTCAAACTGTTAACGTGATGTCTCATGCACTGTTGTACCCAGTGTCTTCAAATTTGGTGACAGCCTACATTGGGGGATTACACAGACACCAGTTTATTTTGGTGACCTTGACCTTATCTTCAAGGTCACCATGACACTTTGCACGCTTTTAACTCTTGTTAATGTGATATTTCATGGACTGTTGTACCCAATGTCTTCAAATTTGGTGACAGTTTACATTGGGGTATTACACAGACACCAGTTTATTTGGGTGACTTTGACCTTATCTTCAAGGTCACCACGATACTTTGACCGCTTTTTAAAGGCGATTTCTCATAAAACATTGCACCCAATGTTTTCAAGTATGTTGACAGCCTACATTGGGTGATTATGCAGACACCGGTCATTTCAGGCATCTTGTATGTGACCAAAAAATAAAAAGTAGTAAATATAGATGTTCCATTCTTTAGCGGCGGGGGACATTGCCATATCAGTGGCAAACACTTGTTATTCTTGAAGATAGTATTCAGTGTTATCGATTGAATTTTTTTAAAATCGATACTCGAAGTTTGATTGTCTAACGATCAATAAACCGATTATTTGATCAATCGGTGCACCACTAGTAATAACCTTGCAAAGTGACAGTGCTAATGAGTACGAGTGCCTGTGTATAAAGACACAAATAGCCAACATGCCACCTAAATCTGATTACTATCTTTATCCTGCATTAAACTAGATATGTGCACTTTTTAATAAAGACACAAATAGCCAACATGCCACCTAAATCTGTTTACTATCTTTATCCTGCATTAAACTAGATATGTGCACTTTTTAAAGCATTCGCTCATAACGCCGAAGATCCAGGTTACATTGTACATTGTGTGATGACCATTTCTGGTGTCCCCCCTCCACGATGTTGCTGAAATATTGCTGTAAGCGGCGTAAACTCGCTCACTCACTACATTTGAAAAGCTTCCTTATGTAACTATCTGTATCACTGGGTTCTTGTTTTTTCCCGCAGTCTTATTTGATTTACCAAAATGGGCATGGCACATGGGTTTGTTTATTGCATTTTAGGTTACATTGCGCTCTTGGTTTTCAGATTGTGAGTTAAACAAGATTGATGAGAAGTTGATCCAAATCCTTGCATGGCAACGATTACAGCAGTTGATGTCATCATCAAACAAGTCCCAATCACCACCGAACAAGAAGAGTCTTCTCAATGGCCTTCTATCTCAACCAGGTAACTATCTCTATCTCTATAACAGCCGGCATAACACCATTCTGTGGCACTAGTCACCACCATTGCCTTTGTAAATAGTGACAAGGGGGGTTTGCTTATTAAAAGTAAGAGTGAGGTGACGTTTGTTGTGGATATTTGTATCTGAATGAACTGACTGAGTTATTTATGGGTTTGTTTATTGCATTTTAGGTTACATTGCTCTTGGTTTTCAGATTGTGAGTTAAACAAGATTGATGAGAAGTTGATCCAAATCCTTGCATGGCAACGATTACAGCAGTTGATGTCATCATCAAACAAGTCCCAATCACCACCGAACAAGAAGAGTCTTCTCAATGGCCTTCTATCTCAACCAGGTAACTATCTCTATCTCTATAACAGCCGGCATAACACCATTCTGTGGCACTAGTCACCACCATTGCCTTTGTAAATAGTGACAAGGGGGGTTTGCTTATTAAAAGTAAGAGTGAGGTGACGTTTGTTGTGGATATTTGTATCTGAATGAACCGACTGAGTTATTTTGTTGACTGAGTTGACTTATTTTGACACAGGGCGGTGGGGTAGCCTAGTGGTTAAAGCGTTAGCTCGTCACGTCGAAGACCCGGGTTCGAATCCCCACATGGGTACAATGTGTGAAGCCCATTTCTGGTGTCCCCCGCTGTGATGTTGCTGGAATATTGATGTGTTTTGATAAAATGATGTGTTTTACAGGGTCCAGCGATGTTCGAGCACGGGCTGTGCTGTGTCCACTCACAGGGAAGGGTCAGGCCGTTCCGATGCCCTACAGAACACTCAGTATTGGCACAGGTAAACTTTCTCATCTGCAGTTAAGCTTGCACAGATAGGGCTCGCAAGAAAAGTTATCAAAAGTCCTCGACCCTGATCCATGGAATGTCCGTAGCACTACAACATTCGTAAGCCAATGATAAACTATAGAGTTACGACAGGTAGGAACTAGGGTTGGGTATTGCAGAGAATTTTCATATTGCGATCTATTGCGATGCGAAAGCATGTATTGCAATATATTGCATGAAGTATTTTTAAACAAAAACTACTTATTATCAAGTTACTTCTTGATTTATAGAGCAAAAACACAACAATATCACTAGGCTTTATTAAGCTGTAATAACAACTTTTAATCATCATAACATAAAAATGTGAATAATATTTGGCACAAATGAAACAAGGACATATCCGAACATTTCCGAGTGTTACGAAGTTTTCCGAATGCAAGTCAAAATACCGGTTTTCGATCAGCATATCGCAATACATATCGTTTTCATGTCTGAACCGGTAAATACCGGTAAACCAGTTATATTGCGCAGCCCTAGTAGGAACGTTTGGGACCAGGACCCAGAATGTCATCCATTTATGAGGAGTAACACAAAGTAATGTCGGACCATCTTGCTGACTCTAGAGCTGTTGTAGTACTCATTGGTATAGATGTGTTTAAGTGCAGGATAGTGATGATGTGCATTGAATTCAAAACTAGTGACCTGAATGTTGATCTATCTAAATATTGTCAGTGCTTTATGATGACTGTTTCAGGTGCAGACATGGATGTGTCCCTCAGTCAGTTTGGAAACTGCAACTTCGTCTCAGCAAAACATGCCTGTATTTTTTATGATGAGGTAAATTCTTTAAAAAACATTTCTTTATGTTGCTATTTGTTCGTGTTTAATTAGATATTATGGTAATTGATCGCCATTCCGCCTGTCAGTGTTTGTTTTGAAATATATCTATTGGATAGCTGATGACGCATTGATTACTGATCTACCATTGATTAGAAATTGTTGATAGCATTCCTCAGTGTATCTATATAACCTCTGTCCCATCTCCAGATGACCCGTCACTATGAGCTGCTGAACTACAGCGAGCACGGAACAACGGTTGACAATGTGCTGTACTCGTGTGACTTCTCGGACAAACCAGCGACCACCCCACAGCCTTCGCCTATCGTGGCTGCTGTGAGGGAGATCAACAGCAAAGCCCGACGGAGATCTGATTCTGATCCTGAAAAACTAGAAAAACACACCATGACAGCTAAAGCTCACGATGTGAGTATGACATGACTTACTGAAGCTTATGGCTTACCCTTTTAACACATGACTGGTCTTCCTTTGGTCTATTTGAGATTAATAGTGTCAGGATTCTGGTTGGGACAGATTCCCAGCAACCTTATCTGGTCACAGGTTGGTTAGACTGAGTCACCTGGCATGTCAGCATAACCTGATGGCAGGGATCATTGCTTACAATAAAAAATATATTAAACTTTCTGATATTTTTCAGACTCAGTTTGAAGACAATCACATAAGTAGAACACATTTGTTAAGTGTTTTTATGAGAATCATTCATACAGATTTTCAATCTATTTTGGAAGCTTTTGTATGAAATCATAGTCCAGAACCAGGGTAATCTTTGTGATGTCTTTGTGTGCTTTTTAGATTCAATTGTAATTTGCAATATGGAAGCTGCTGTATTTTGAACTGACCAAGTATGCATTTTCATCTTAGTTTTGCCTATTTCCAAGTAACCCCATTGCAACGATTTCCCTGTTTCAGCTGCCACGCCCCTGCAACTGTCGAGTAAGCAGCTCAAGTCTCATCGGAGGGAGTGGTGCTGGCTGGGAGGGCACGGCCCTGTTGCATCATGGGAGCTACATCAAAGTGGGATGCCTCCAGTTTGTGTTCAGCATTGTCGATCAGGCGGCTTCAGAACCCATAATAGAGAAAAAAGTTGAATCTATGTCATTGTTAAAAACTCACTTAAAGGCAGCAGCTCAGTAACAGGAGTTCATGTAAGGATCTTCCCGTAAACATTTTACTTAGGTTTTTGTTGTTTTTTCTATGACTTTTATGGAAATATTTGTTAAATAACAGTTGCTTAGTTTACAGCTAACATTAATTTATTCTTGTGTCATGATTTTCTAATACTGTCTTCAGATTCAATAACTTTCGTCTTTAACTTTCCCTTCGTTTGTCAAATGACAAGTGAAATATACTTGCCTCTGTACTTACTGTTAATCATATGTTACACAACAGTCATATCTAATGCAGTGGAGGAAATCTGGTTGAAACTACCATTTGACTGCTGTCTTCTTTGAGTGGCATTTAGAAATTGAGGTGATGAACAACGGGTAAAGTTCTTTGGATATACAACTTTATTATCAGTGGAAGCAACATATCAGTGTACATGCTAACACTGTTATCATCTACACTGAACACTTGATTACATTATTAATAATGAAGTGGTATAATCATAAGGGGCGGTGGGGTAGCCTAGTGGTTAAAGCGTTGGCTCGTCACGCTGAAGACACGGGTTCGAATCCCCACATGGGTACAATGTGTGAAGCCCATTTCTGGTGTCCCCCGCCGTGATGTTGCTGGAATATTGCTAAAAGCGGCGTAAAACCAAACTCAGTCAGTCAGTATAATCATAAATCTTTCCCTGTTTTATTGCCACTTTATTAGTGTCTAATTACAATTAATATGAAGTGGAAATGTAAGCAGCATATTTGTTGAAGTGGTTATGAAATATGCACAATAGCAAACCAAGTCCGAGGAAAATTCAGGCTGTAAACTTAAGAATGTCTATTGCCAGTAAGTTTGGAATATGTCCTTGCCAGGTTCTAAGTATATAGTGTAATTTGTTCATCTCAGGTTTTGTTCTTCAGGGATGTGATCATATTCAGAATCTTAGCAGCTGTAGAGGGGCATGGTGACCCGCTTGTAAGCAGCTTCAGTTTGATCTGCAGAGTTCTGTCCCCTTGACATGCTGATGTTATTGATCTTCGGTTGGATTGTTGTTTCTAGGTTTGTCATCACCATGACTCCCTGATTTCACCAAAATTATAAATGTCTTTGACCTACGTTGCTTTGCAGATGAAATTTACATGGGAGAGAACTGGCATACTGTTTAAACGAGCGTAAAATATGTCTGATTCACTCACAGAGCAGCTGAGTGTTAGAAAACATGAAGTACTGTTATCACTGAATGTGAAAAATTGCTAACTATTAACTATATGTATATGGAAATTTAAACTTAATTTAAATAATTGTACTTAAGTTTTCCGATATGACTAGTTTTATACAGTATATTTTTATGAATATCTGTCCATGAAAATTCTATTGTAAAACTATTTGAAGAAAATGAAATGTATATAAAATAATAGCATTTCTTAATTCTGTTTCTCTACACAACCAATCTGCTGTCCCATAATGGATCAAACCATTCACAGAAATTCTTCAAAAGTTGTGCCATATTCAGGTTTTAAGGTGCGCTCATCATGACAAGGGTTGTCTCCCCTTACAGCTGTGCTGAAGTATGTGTTTACTGTCGTATTTCATATTGTCAAAAGTTGTCACATTGCCCAGCTCATTTGATACTGCGTAAAGTAGTCAGTACAAAAGGTTTGCTGATTTGTTTTGAATCTTGAATGAAAGTAAAGAGAGTCTTGTATACTCCCCATCAAAACTTTAGACTCACTAGTGTAAATGTAGCCACTGACTTCAGTCAACTGTTCTGAACTAGATTTTGTAAAATAATCCATACAGTTTAAAGGTACTGTTTATACAAGAGCTGATGTATTGTAAAACAAATTCGTAACGTTGAAAAGTTTATTGTCATGTGTTCAATAAATGATGAAACTCAGTGAAAAATGGCGAAATTTTTATCAAAACTTTACACCCAAACACATCTGTTCACATGCACAATATTTGCTCATGCTTTTCAGCAATTTGATGCATGATCCTCGTGCAATTTATCTGCATACGGTTTGCAGATGTTTTCCCCAAGTTAGTGGAGAAATTCATCTTCGTTGTAACCATATGTACATACATAACATATAGTGATTGATTTAAGAGAGTCTAAACTTATGATGGGTAGTATATTATGATAGATGATTTCATTATTTTACTCAAGTCCTGTTTATAGGGAATTTGTTTTGTAATTGAGTATTATAGTCATAACTTCTACAGAATTTTCAAAATGGAATTTTTTGCAAAAATTTCTCATGAAGGTACAAATGAATTACCTAAATGTTTACTTGTAACATCTAGGTATAATCTGAGTCACTAAACAGTAAACACTTCACTGTAAGCTCCACAAGACCATATCATGGCAATAAAGCGTCATAAAACCAAAATTTGTCAGTAATGAACTTAGATCAATCCAAAGTCCGTATAATCACAATGATATTATGAAATATAAGTCAGATAAATGTTTCTCAGTTACTGTCTTGTGAACTCGTTTGATCTGAATGATCCAAATGAAAATAGATCTAAGCTTCCTGGAGATATTTAAATTAATCTGTATTTTTGAAATAGGTATAGCTATTTTAACCAGTGCATTATGTTTTGAGTGTTGGAGTAAGATCTGAAAATAAAGATCATTTGTGAAGATCTGGGCACCACTGAACAAAGCTCGGAGTGTTGTAAGTCCACGTTTAAGAATTGGAATTACGATCGTAGTGCCTAGACGACTCTGTGGAATGGGGCTGAGGTAGAGTTATATTTTTGATAATGTGTTGACAATCATTTGAGAAAAGGAAATAACCAGTTTTATGGGACATTTGTGAATTTAAAAAAATTCTACAACCACAAGCTGATAATTCAGCATGGCTAACACGTTTTGTGACAAATTTTGCTGATAGCTTGTTAGTTGAAGGAAATTACATAAAAGTCTTATGTCTTTATCAAAAGAATTATGAAATTGGAAGCAGTATATTAACTGTTTTCAGTGAAGTGTTCCAAGTAATGAAGGTGTTCAAGGGAGACCTACTGTGTTTAACTATGCTAAATGACTCTACCTTCTATACGAAATACTTGAATTTGATTTGTTATTGACATTTTGATGATTTCCAGGTACCTGCTACAAGCAGTGTACAGGACAATATACCTACTATCTGACATACTACTGATCTCTGAAACTCAAGGTCCTCAGTGTGAAACTACTGCATAATTAACATATTTGATTATATAATCAACAGAGCCAAGCCCTAAACAAATGGTCTTCAGTATGGCAACACACGCTTCTCAATTTCGTTTTTGTTTTAGATTGTAGCGTGTGGTATGATGGTAAAAAAAAATATGAATCTGTTATCTGAGTAAGTGAATTGCAGGTTGAAGATGTGAGTACTAATTTAAAGGTGCATATTCCATCAATTACAGTATTTATTATGTCGTGTCATATTGTTCTCAGTGCTAATCAGACCTGATAGTTATCTACAGAACTAAAACAACATTAGCTTTTTAAGTGCAGTTTAACTGTATGCCTTCAGATACTGTTTCAAATGTGTTCTGTTTGTCTCTAACCCATTGACTAAAATCTGGGATTACAATCTGTGTTCAGTTTTTACATACAGCTCTCAGGCTGGTTTGTGTTCAGTGACTTTGATAATGGCTGTAAGTGCTGCAGGTTTTTAGGGCTGTAATTTCACTACTTCAGTAAGTACTTTTGCTCCTGATGACATGTGTTCAAGTGCTCAATCTTAATGTATGTGTCTGCTGAAATATAGAAAGAAGTCTATGGTTTAAGTCATTGTTTCTTGGTTTTTTATTTCTTAAATCTGGGTCCGCCAACGTGGTAATATATTTCAAACATAATTGCCAATGTTCTTTTCTTTTGTAAGTTTTTACTCCTTTACATTTTGGGATATAAGTAATTTTCTTTGTCAGTTTTCACAGAAATCACTTCAATTTATAAAAATAGAAATTGACATACCAGTTGTCTCTAACAGCAGGGGAACTGGTCATTTATTACAGAGGAGAATGTGTGATCCGATACTTCACTGATACAAAGCATGGGAGTTTAAAAAACTGTTGTACAATTTGGGTACAACTGAAGTGGGTGGTTATTTCTAGATATTAAGAGTGTTGACATGGCTGTTTTTTTCATCTTGTTGATCACTTCAGTGGTTTGGTGGAAGATGGTGTTTCGATTCTCTCATCGTTTCACCAAGATTTGTAAAAAAAAAGACTGTGGCATGGTATCTCAGTTGGCTGGTACTATGTAACTGACACAGCCAGATAGTATACGTCCTGTATGAATGCAAAAATCTTAAACTTGAATATTAAATCCATTCATCTCGCCTTCTCTGTAGTGGTTTGTGAAGTTACCAATCTCCACTCCTCTGGAATTTATGACCAGCCTCTTTAATTGATACACGCAGTGTATGTGAACTATTGTGACACATGTGTTTCTATGCACCTCGTACTAGTGATAGCTGTTGTTCTGTTGGGGGCCTACTGAGTAGACTAGAGACTACATCTAGTGAGCCCTGTGAATTCTTCCCTATGTGCCAAAATCAAGTGTTTTTATTTGCCTTTTAAATAATTGAGATGTTTTGGGGAGGTTGTGTTAGGTTGGACTAACCTGTGATCTTGTGGTACCACCTGTTCGATGGGGGTCCATTTGGTGACTCATATCCGTTATTATGCTGTGTTTTTAAGATAGCTGTTAAATCAAAGTGAAGAAATAAAGAAAGGTCCCATGTTTTCTTGTGTACTTAATAATTGAATTACTGTTTCTGGAAATCACATTTATCATTTACAAAATGATGACACTCCTTGTTAATGGAATTTCCTGTTGAAAATGCCTAGAGGCAGGATGGAAGTATAAGCTAAGCTGTTATGGGGTGATTCGAGGTTTGCCAAGATTAGTTGCAAATAGACAAAATAGTTTTAATAGAAAGAAGATTTTTCATAAAACTGTTTATTTAAATTATATTTGTTACCGGTACTTTGTGCTTGTCCATAAAACCAGCAACTATTAAATGTGTTTGCTGTAAGTTATGTGAGCACTCATCTTCTACCAATCATGGTGTAGAACCCAGTGGAATTTTCTTATTTGAGTTCCCCTAAAGTTTTGTACTGCAGGCTTTTAGAGGATTTATTATGTGTACATAGTTTGTAAATAGTGTGTATTTGTACATATGTAAGTAGCATACATTGACCTTGTAGACTTCTGCATGTTGCATAGACCCACAAGTCCCCATTGTGCGCATCTTAGGCTTGTGACCATTCTCATTTGTATCATTAAAAGTTATGCCAAGATTTCATCCTTTGTTATTGTTCTTTTGAACAGCTGTTTGTTAGTCACAATCCTGGTAACCATGAAGATCCAGGCTAGAATTGGTCTTCAGTAACCCATGCTTGTTGTAAGGCGACGAACAGGATCGGATGGTCAGGCTTGCTGACTTGGTTGACATGTCATCGTATCCCAATTGCGTGGAATGATGCTCATGATGTCGATCACTGGATTGTCTGGTCCAGACATGATTATTTACAGACCACCGCCATATAGCTGGAATATTGCTGAGTGCAGTGTAAGACTAACTCACACACACACGATCATGATGGCTGGGATGTCATTATGTCCATCAGCCTGTGGGTCAGGAGAGTGTTGTTTATCACTGCACTCTGCACAGTTCCAGCTGTATGATGGTAAACTGAAGAATCAACCTTACTTGAGCCATGGTAAATGTCTGAGACAGCTTTCCTCCTACAGTAAGCAGACACAAGCGAAGGACTGTCCTCAACACTCACTGTAGCATCTTGCACTCCCCCATTGGATTCAGTCTGTCATCATCTCACCCTCTTCCATGAGATACAGTGTGTCACCATCTCACCCTCTTCCATGAGAAACAGTGTGTCACCATCTTACCCTCTCCTATGAGATACAGTCTGTCACCATCTCCCTTGAGATACAGTCTGTCACCATCTCACCCTCTTCCATGGGATACAGTCTGTCACCATCTCACCCTCTTCCATGAGATACAGTGTGTCACCATCTTACCCTCTCCTATGAGATACAGTCTGTCACCATCTTACCCTCTCCCATGGGATACAGTCTGTCACCATCTCACCTACCCCCATCGGATACAGTCTGTCACCATCTTACCCTCCCCCATGACATACAGTCTGTCACCATCTCACCCTCTCCCATAGGATACAGTCTGTCACCATCTCACCCTCTCCCATGAGATACAGTCTGTCACCATGTTACCCTCTCCCATGAGATACAGTCTGTCACCCTCTCCCACTGGATATAGTCTGTCACCATCTTACCCTCTCCCATGAGATACAGTCTGTCACCATCTCGCCCTCTCCCATAAGGATACAGTCTGTCACCATCTTACCCTCTCTTATCAGATACAGTCTGTCACCATCTAACCCTCTCCCATGAGATACAGTCTGTCACCATCTCACCCTCTCCCACTGGATACAGTCTGTCACCATCTTACCCTCTCTTATCAGATACAGTCTGTCACCATCTTACCCTCTCCCATGAGATACAGTCTGTCACCATCTCACCTTCCCCATGAGATACAGTGTCACCATCTCACCCTCTTCCGTGAGATAGTTTGTCACCATCTCGCACTCTCCCATGAGATACAGTCTGTCACCATCTCACCTTCCCCCATGACATACTTTATCTCACCTTCCCCCATGAGATACAGTCTGTAACCATCCCACCCTCTCCCTTGAGATACAGTCTGTCACCGTCTCACCTTCCTCCATGAGATACTTACT